GCGGCTGGGCACCACATGCTAATTGCCAGCCACCATCCCCCCGGGCGGGGCCACCCGGAAACCATAAGCACCCCAGGTGTCTTGGAACTAGAGATGTTACGCATACGAATACGACATGGGAGTTACGCGTCGTATTCGAATAAGCCGTCGGAATCAAAAATTTCTTAATTCCGACCCGGTCATCGTATTCGAATTAGGGTCGGAACCAAGCGAATGCGACGTTCGTATTCGTTTAAACGGTTCACGTCGGGATAATAAGCTAATTGGGATGCAAAGCGATATTACGAAGAAAACGGTCGGAAAATGGAAATAAGTAGTCATAATATTCATAATTTGAATAGATTAGGAGCCAATTTTCCGGTCATTTCCGGTGCCTGTGTCAATATTTTGATATTTACATAGCATTTCGTCTTGAATTTCAAATTAGCTTTTTATCCCGACGTGAAGCCGACTTGGCAGATCATCGCGTCGGAATTAGCCGAGGCTTGTTCGAATACGATCGTCGTATTCGAATTATCGGAATTCTATCCCAAATCAGATATGCATATCGGGCTAATCTGCCGGAAGTAGCACATCGTATTCGTATGCGTAACATCTCTACTTGGAACCAGCCCGGGAGGGTCGAGGTGGCGTGACTGGAATTTTCGGCCTGGGTGAAAGTTGAGGTCAATATGCAAATGTGGCATGGGCCTGGAAGAAATGTGAAACGGCGATTTCTTCATTGGATAAAGAGAGAGGGAGAGAGAGAGAGCGAGAGAAAAAGTGGGAGAGCGAGAGAAACAGTGAGATAGGGCGAGGGAGCGCCAGAGAGAGTCAAAGGACGAGAGTGAGGGAGGGAGAGAGATACAGAGAGTGAGAAAAATCCTTGGCTTTTCAGCGATTTTGGAAATGTGTGCTATTTAAGAAAATTCTTTTCACAACACGCTTTATCAATTACCGGGAATTTATCATATCTTTAATTCTCACAGATTGATGACTTTGAGGATGTATGCATACGGTAGCTAATTCCAGAACAGTCCGGAACGACTTGCCGGGATTACTGCATTTGGATTTTCAAAATACGACTTTTCCATCCACATTTTTTCTATTTTTAACCAGGGTTGAAAAACCGCTTCGCGGCTTTTCAACCCTGGCCCCGTCTAGGACCGATGAAAGTCTTCAATTTGCATGCTTCTTCCCCAAAATCTATCAGGAAAAAAGTGAAAAACGGCTCCTCTGTCGCTTTATATAGGCTATCCGACTTCCGGCTTATGCTAATTGATCCCTAACAAAGAGGGTGGGCGAGAATTTTACAAAAATTTGTTTTTATTAGCGAAAATAGCAATTTTTCAAAGATTTTATGTGCGTGCAGTCGATTCCGGACCCTTCTTTACCTAATGACGTTTCTTCACTACCGAAAAAATGCATCGCTGAGGCTGTAGGTGCGGAACATCCTCACGGAAGTTGCATGCAAATGCACACACACACACACACAGACACTATTTTTTTATATATAGTAGGATAGTAGGATTTTCTATTTTGGTCAAAGTGCCTTTTCTTGTTATGCATTATCCAATTCATATGTTCATTGAAAATTGGAGTGCCGTGTCGCGTGGGATCTTGTCGGTGCGTGTCTAAACGGTTGATTTGCTGTTTTATCTTAAAAACGCCAATTTTAGCATTTTTTTTTTTCCAGGCGCAGCGACCGGTGCTCTTCTTCGCTCGGGCCCCTTTATAAGAGCAAAAAAAGCGAGTTCCCGAGTATCAAGTTGCCATTGCTTGGACGCGAGCCACATTTCTAACGAGCTTCTGGAAGTGGTATGGTGGTAAACGTGCCCTGGAGCCGCTCATCGAGGGCACCATGATGTCTTTCCTATTAGGATTCTGTTTCGAATAGAATAGCATGTTAACCGTTTTCGTCGAATGATACTGAGCAAGTGGTTGCGATATGGATCGGTAAACCATAATATAGAAAGTGACGAGATTGTCGCGTGGGTACCGTGGAACCAGAAGGCCAGATTGAGGATGGCTGAAAAGGGTTAAAGAAATTGTTTGCATATTAAATAAGCTTCGATTTAAGCGATTTTTACAACGCAAAATTACTCAAGTTCTTCAGGGAAATTAGGGATTCGCAGTGGATGCAAAGTCCAAAAACAAGCCGAAAAAACTGTTTTGAATTCGGGGAAAAGCAGTATTAAGTAACTCGAAAACTACGATAGCTACAGGACTATATGTCAGTTTTGTTATTATTGAGGGCCTGATACACCTCTGATCCAAATTTTGGGCCGATTGGATGTAACACGGCGAAATGCCAGATGGTTCGTTTTTTGGGACACCCTGTACATAAATTTCTGTGATCGTACATAACTTGGCGCGAATGATGCGCACCTGATTATAGAGCAGATGGTACTTATACTAGTGCTGCACCAATCTCGGCGATTTGTAGATAAAGGCGATAAACACGTTCAATGCCATCCCGAATACAAAGAAAACGCGCAAAAACAATATATAAAACGTCGGATATTCATAGCGGAGTATTTGCATTTTCTGAAAAAGCCGGATGGTCCGGGGGTCGCCATTCGCAAATGCCGGCGCGGCGCAGCTGCTTTTCCGGGGGGCAATTTTTTTAAATGACGGTGTAGGTGGCTTCGGTGGTGTACTTTTTGTATCGTTTGTCGTTTTATTGCTGGTATCTAGCTGGAAAGAACGTAATGGCACAAAATCTTTGGCATGCTGTAAAAACTGGGCTTATTTATAAAAGCAATAATAAACTATTTTTATACTTATTTATAAACTAAGTACAAATAAAGATAAAATTAAGAACGGTAAAAGCCAGGTTCAATTTTTATAATCTAAACATTACATTCTAAACATGATTTCGAAAAATGAAGATCGGTCGTCGGCTGAAATTATTATTTGCCACTGTTTTTGAGTGCATTGGCATTGAGTAGAGCAATTTATTGAGCATTGTTCAACGCTAAGCGGTCCCATAGGCAAACGAGCGGCACCTGCCGTTATCACTTCCGGCACACGCCTGGAACGGGCTGCACAGGTCGACGGTATTAACGGTCCTTCGAAATTTCACGATCAACAATTCGCCATCGTCGCGCGCGATCCGGTACCAATGTTCGACGAAGGTTTGCACGCCAAAGTTATGCCGGACTATGATCTGGGGATGTGGCTCAAAACGGTCGGGGCTTCCCGGCAGCGAAGGGCCAACATTTAGCCCGCTGAAGTATTCGGTGGACACCTTTTTGATCTCGCGCTCACCACGTAGCCATTCGTCGACCAAATTTTCGGTATAGTCTTGATCGTAGAAGCCGGAAGTGTGCAGGGTTAGATGCGGGTGCTTTAAGCCCAGATATTCTGAGGGTGGGACGGTGATTTTGGCGTCGAGGCGCTGGATGTGTTTATTGATCCAGGCCAGAACGTCGAGGTTAGGGCGCAAATTTTCCATGGTGAGAACAAGCTCACCGGCCGATTTTTGTAGTTTAAATGTTCGATCTGGGTCCAGGTCATCATAGCATAGATTCAGATACAGGTGGCTAATGGAGCCGACTTCCGGAGGTTGGCCATGCTGGTGTGGCTCAAACGTGTTAGCCGCATAAAACAGCACCCGGAGGACCTCGATGTCCTCTAGAGAAGGCGATCCGGCTGGCGGACTAAAACTATAGCCCTTTCCAATCCGCTCCTGCACGACGGCCACTTTCCATTGCTTGTTTTGGTAGTGTTTCGTCATCTCCAGCATGGCTCTACTCGTCATCACGGTTTTCAAGAAACTTCTGAAATCCATATGCCGAAGGATGCGCTGCTGGATTTCGATCGGGAATACTTGGAAATCCATTTCTGAAAAAAAACTGGATAGCGCAAAGAATTCAGGAAGATTTGCGAATTTTTGAAAATAGTTCCTACTTTGCAATAGTCAAAAAACCAATTGCTAATTGCGCCTAAAAGTGGACAACTATGGATCACGGAGGAGCCGATCTAAATGAGTGAGGGCGACAAGTTAAAATCGAGACAAAACGTCCAAAGCACGTAAAACTGCATGCCTGTGCTACGTATTTGCGCCTGCCATGTGAGCACGGCCTTATCAACTGAGGGAACATTGCAAGGCTGGGCATCCTTTTACGCTTTTTACGGCTTTTAACCCTTTACAAGCGCACTAAAATTCGGGAAAGCTTTGAAATAAGGCTGTAATTTAAAAAAATTGTATACCGGGGTAGCAATCGGTGAGAGGGAAAGAGAGAGAGAGAGAGAGAGAGAGAGAGAGAGAGAGAGAGGGAGAGAGAGAGAGAGAGAGCGAATGGGAGACAATGAGTTAGAGAGAGCGAGCGGGGAGAGGGAGTGAGAGTGGGAGAGAATGATTTGGAGAGCGAGAGGGGGATAGCGAGATTGGATTGTTTGTTCGATTGCATGCGCGCTAAATTGCCTCAAGTTGCCCAAGCAGAATAATTGGAAATGGTCGTTAATTGGATGCAAAGTCCGTTCATTATGGTTTAAATTCGTTATAAAATGGCGCGTTTAAATAAAAACATGGTTATGAATATTGGGGCAAACTAATCATGTCAAGGGCGTTCGAATGGCGTGCCTATCGTTCAGATCCGGTACTTCTGCGTCGAGTTAATCGTCTTCGTCGTTCCTAATGTCAAACTCCGAATGCCGAAATTCACATAAGCTGATTTTCCCGGGAAAACAACCGGATCCTTCCAAAAAAAATCGAAATTATGAAAATTTCGACACCACGAAGTTGGCGCTCATGAATTTCAAAATTATGAAGGTAAATCCCTTTTGGCAGCATCGCTCTGCATGAAAATTTTTGAAAGCATTGAGGATGCTTGAAATGTTTTTTAAAGCGGGCACGCGATTTCAAAACATATTCAAAACTATTTAAAACCCAATATTTATGGTTTATTTAGCGACAGGTGTATTATGGATCAATGTCTGATTCTGTATCTTGCACCAGTTTCCCGTGTGACTTTTTACTGTAATTTGCGCTGACTGCAGACACGCTGAACACTTTAACGACCCCACGACGCTGGATCGCAGTCCGTCGTTTGATTGTGATTCGTCCCGATTGGCCGGCAGTATCCACGGGGGCTGCGGCCGATTTGTTCGCAGCAGAAGAGCCCATCCATGCACTCTTGATAGTCGAGCTTCCGGTTACAGTGGACGTTCTTCTCGATACGCCTCTTAAACGTATTGGGAATTAACGATTCGCAATTCTCTTTCGGTTGCCTATCAGGGGCCTCAAAATTTGAATAGCGAAAGCGAAAATTTCGGACTTTAGGAAGGTCACGTTTTGAATTTTTAGGACATCGAGCGTGCATTTCCAAGGCCTCAAAATGTCGAGATTCCAACAAGTTTTCGTCTCGCTAGCTGTGTCTCTCTATCTCTCTCGCTCTCGCTCTCTCGCGATGTCTATGTCTCTCACTCGCCAACTTTCTTTCTTTGCGAACTTTTCCTCGCTATCTCCCTCTCTCTCTCTCTCTCTCTCTCTCTCTCTCTCTCGCTCTCTCTCTCTCTCTCACTGTCTATCTCTCAATCCACTAGCCGCATTAAACCCCCAGCAAAAAAATTTAATACATACCCTGGGCCTGCATAGATAATCCCTGCCACAGTACCAATGCGGTTTGCACGGGACCTTCCGACACTCCTCGAGAAACGCGGCCGAGGTCAGCGCCAGGAACGCAATATAAAAAACCCAGCGCATTTTGAATTGCAATTTCCACCCGCGGCGGTTTTTATATGGCCAGCTCTGGCTACCGAATCGATTAAACGGTCTTGAATTCAAATTAGCGATTCTGTGGGCCTGTGGTCCGGAGAAAGCTGGGATTGGGATCGTTTCTACACGATTACAAAGCCCTGAAAAAGGTAAGAAACATGGTTTTGTTCTTTTGAGATTGATATTATTTTGTGGGTAGTAACGTTTTGTTAAAAACCAGCGGTTTTTCACGATTCACAAAATCACGCATAACATGCGATAGAGAGATAGAGAGCGAGAGAAACAAGGCGCGCGAGCGAGAGAGAGAGAGAGAGAGAGAGAGAGAGAGAGAGAGAGAGATAAGAGGTTGATTTGCGTTCCTCATATATTTGGTTTCTGAAGATATTTCTTTTATTTTTCCGAATCTAGCTTTTTCCCTGAAGAAAACCTTCACGGTTCTCTTGATTATTTTCTCTCTCTCTCATCGCTCTCTCTATCTCTCGCTCTCTGTCTTTATAATGTCTTTGATCTAACCACAAATATTTATCAAACAAATTGGACCTGGTCTCATGCAAACCCACAAAGGATCCGATTCAGCGTATTCTGATAAAAGCAACCGGATCGTCCTCGGCAACAGAATTCACCGGAACGACACATCGCCCCAAAGCACTCGGCTCTCTATAGTTTTAAGATTTCTTTTTCTGGCGTTTAATTTTCAGCTCTCGTTCTCTAAATCATTGATAGACCCCAAGCTCACCTCGCCTACGGTAGCGGCAACGAGGAGAAGCAACAGAAAATAAAAAATCGAGCGCATTTCGGATGGTGAAGAGAACCGAATTTTTAGGCTTTTCTGGCGGTATATGATAGATTATGTAGACTCTATGTTTCAGATCAATATTGTAAATTCCGGATTTTCGAGATGGTGATTTCAAAACTAGGGCATTTGGAAATTCGACATTTGAAATGCTAAGAAAGGATTTTCGAAAATGTCAACTTTTTCTGTGGCAACCGCATTACCGGTGGCGTTCCCGAGCTGGCCGTAAACTGCTTTTTCAACGCGTTCCAAAGCTTTTCATGATCTACCTCGACAATCCTTTTCCTCTCTATGTTTCTCTGCCTATTTCTTTAAGGTTTATTGTGTTTTTAAAAATTGCGTAGATATTTATCTCAGAAATGTCTTTAGCTCTCGCTATTTTCCTACTGGAGGACACTCAGGGGTAGTCACAAGAAAGCACGCCTTCGCCGAAGGGCAGCAATATTCATACCAGGAACAGGATTTGCCGTAGCAGTCACCGCTCTGCAATTTTTTCATATATAAATTGCCAAATATAGCATCCAATTCACGCGTTCTTTCCAAACCACCTCAACTACCGTAACCGCGATGGCCAGCAGCAGCAGCAGAGTGTAGAAAATAGAAGGCATTTTGAATGGCAAAAGGCGGGATCTTGACGTTTTTAAGGCGCATTCTTTTCGATCTACGGCCTTTGGTTTCTGGCCTTATGCGGCAGCGGAGATGCACCATGTTTTATTCAACGAAAATCAGGGCCTGAAGTGGAAGCCAGGTTTCCAAAACTCGCTGCAGAGAAGTGAAGCTGTTTTTGTTTCTTGTCTAGAAATAAAAATACCTACGTTTGGGGACCCACTCTTTTCTTTTTTGCAACTTTTCAAATCGTGTAAAAAATGTTTAACAGTTTTGAATGTACCGAAACGACTTTTTTATAGTAATTAGACCATGGCGAACATTTTGAGCTTGTTCACGCATTAATGACGTAGGGCTGAAAAGTGAGGGCTCTCCCAGCCTAAAAAACCAGAGTGAGCCCGATTCTTCGGGGCAACCTGTAGTGAATTTCTGAACTAACGAAATTAACTAATAACGAATAACAAGATAAAAACTAATGCAACCAATAAAAGTAATAAACTAAATAAATAAAATAATAACTAAAGAAACTAACTAAAAAATAATTAATGCAAAGGGCAAAGTAAGCTCGATAAATTTTTTTCGCGTTGCATCCTAATTTGCATGTTATCACGACGTCACGCCGGTATGCGTAGCATTTCTAGTCAGCCGTCACTAGCCTCATTGCAACAAAACAATTGATTCACATACGCAAATTCCCCATATGGACGATCACGGGTTAGTCGGCAAGCTTCGCCGGGGCTGCAAAGCGTCACCGTGGTCCCGTAGCCGCTGATGAATTTGACGATCAGCATTTTGCCGTCGGGTCGCTGGATGCGGTACCAAGTCTCCGGCTCTCGTTCCCTGGGAATTTCGAGCTTCGCGAATCGCGCGTAAAAGGCTTGGTCGCGCGGCGCATCCGGATTGTTGGGATCCGTATCGTACATGGTGTCGATGGTTTCAATCGTCCTCTCGCCGCGCAGCCACTCGTTGACCATAATTTGCGTGAATTCCCCGGCGGCTTCGTCATAGAGGTGATCTGCGCCGAACTGCATTGTTGGTAGCTTGAGTGGGGCATACGCCGATTGCGGGCCCTTGGTTAATCGATAGCAGCTGTCTTTGACGTTTGCATTAATCCAAGCCAGGATTTCGGGGCTCGGCGATGCGTATATGTTCGTGCCAACGTGCTCATACCCCCCATCCGGCTTGTGGCGCTTTAACACCGGAAGCGCATCTTCCGCGTCGTACCCCAGGTCCAAAACCTTGCTGCGGACATTGATGCCATCTGGAAACGGATTGTGGAGCCGCATCTCCGGGACGGTGGCGTTATGGGCGATCACTTTCAGAATATCCATATTTGTGGTGTATCGATCCTGGTTTAGCCCGGGATTTTCGCCTACTATTGAAGAAAACGAGAATCCATCTCTTCTGTGGTGATCCCCGATGCCGATTCCCCAGTTCTTGCCGCGGCAATTTTTGGCGATTTCAAGCATTTCCTTGCAAGTTAGGGCGGTTTTGAGGAAGTCCGCCACGGCCAATTTACGCAGGATGTGTTCTTGTATGACGGTGGGGTACGCTCGGAAATCCATCACCGGAAATGTCTCGGAAAGTTTTGGGAAGCAACGCCAGTAGAAAAAATATTTACGACAGGTTAAGAAAAATAAAACGTGAAGCTGAAAAAAAACCCAGATTTTACCTGGACGTTCAGAAGGGAAAAAGGGAATTAGGTCGGGAAATGTGTGCCATTCAAACGTCATTGAGACATGCGTACCGCAAACTCATCTGCGGGCCCGGAGGCAACATCACCTCATCAAAACGCGGGATCGTCAAATCATGCTAATTGAGAATACCAGCGCCCAAGGCCCGCGAAGCGGGTTTTGGGCGCTGGTTGAGAATATAAAAAAGATGAAGGGTTATGTTCATTTTTCCTAAAAATCATTTTTCCTAAAGTTCATTTTTCCTAAAATTTTTCATTCAATAGGGATGCGTAAGAATATGAGCAAGGCCAAATGCTGTCATTTTTTATTAATATTTGTTTGTTTCGGTTATTGGTTGGCTTTTATCAAATAATTTTCTTGTTATCATTGATACTTTTTCATTTCCAATCACACAAATGTAGGCTACACGTGCAACTAAAATACTTCCTATGATCATTCTAGGCAGATCTGAATTCATTAAAAAAATTTCTGTTTGCTCAGGCATGGTACTAAAGAACTGAGGCCTTTACGGCATTTAACTTGTTTTAGGAAAAATGAACTTTAGGAAAAATGGTTTTTCGGAAAAGTGAATTTTAGGAAAAAAGATTTTTAGGAAAAATGAATTTAGGAAAAATGACTGTAATACAAAGATGATATACAAAATATGAGAAATTACTAAGAATGTTGTTTTGTGGCAGCGAATTTCGTGAAGCGATGATTTATGACTCTAGGGTTTTTGTCGACTTTTGCGGTTTCGATCTCGAAGTCGTTGTTGACCAATTATAATGCCCATGCCAAGCCTTCGCGCAAATTCAAATGGTTGTTGCCATCGGCTCAACATCCTTTATTCTTTCGCTTAGCAATAGACGTCCAGTGGCTGGCAACTTCCGAGCTCGGGATCGCCGCTCCAACTGCAGCAGTGTTGCCCCTGAGCGCACAGCCGGCCATGGGCGCAGCGTTGCCGCTAAATTGGTTATCTTGGATATTACTTCGTAACAAAATAAAAGCTGAATTTCTTAAAGTGCTAACGACGGCCCATTTTGATCGATTACGCTATGTAAAAACGGAGTTCATACTCGCTGATTGGCATCAACTACCCGGATCCTTATTAGGATATCCAATAATGGTTTTAACCAACCGGCATGAGACATATGTTTAGTGTGCATTTATGAAATCGAGGGCAATCCGCTGTTGCCTTACATCCACGCTAAAACACTTTTTTATCCCGGTCCGTTAGCTTAAGCTACTCTGACCCACCGTTTCACTCGTTACCGCAGCTATGGCGGCGAGGAGTGGGAGTACACAGAAAAAGAAACGCATCTCTGTTGGTGCAAGTAAAAAGAAGATTGTTACTTTTATAGCACCGCATCCACTTTTCGCCTGCCCTATGTTTTATTCCATAGGCCTGCTGCTGGGCGCGATTTTGTAGCGCTGCTGATGTTTGGACCGGGTTTTCGATTTCGTCAAAAATTGATGTCGTGATTCATTTTGAAGAAAAGTACGTTGTCGAAGTTTTGTCTGGAAGCAATCTCCCTAAATTCATAATGTCGAAATTTCACTTTCTTGAATCTTTCTGGCTTTTTCCGCAAAATCCGAATTTTCGCGTAGTTTAGATTATCGTGGAGCCCAAATAGACCCAGGATTCGCGCGGTGGAACGCCCTTGGAATTTCCCGTCCATTAATTGCCCAGCAAAACACCCATTTTCCATCAATCAGCGCCAATGTGTTGATGGCGATCCGCAAAACGCAAAAAAAATCGGCGATGAAGAACCTGTTCCTGATAGGTGAGCAATTTGTGTCAGGGCTTAAATCTGTGAGTCATACTACTTGCCTGCGCGAACCCGGGGGGACCCAGTGCGCAGCGCGTAGCAAGTCAGTGCTTTTCTGTGCTTTCGGGCCACACCAGGCTAACAAGTGGGTGTCGTCGGCAACCGGAGTGGCGGGGCATTGTGTCCACCATCCAGGCGTTGAATGCCTTTTCTTGCTGTCTCTCGGCACCTATCTCTCTCGCTCCCTCTCTCTCTCTCTCTCTCTCTCTCTCTCTTTCTCGCTCTCTCTCCCGCTTGTCAAACACGGCTTGTCATTTTACAAGCACCCTTGACATCGATTCTCTCTTTTTTTGTTCCAGAAACTTAGTTTAGTGTTTTTTCCTGAAAACAAAAAAACATAAATTTACGTTTTCCTCGTATATTTTGCGGGGGTGGTGCGAGTTGAGAGCGAGAGAGAGAGGGGGGAGAGCGAACGAGAGGGATAAATAGAGGCTGGTGTCCTTTAAGTCTTATTTTGGTATTTACAGAATTAAAGTTTGTAAGGCTGGCCGGCTTGTGAAAAGCATTAAGGAATTTCATGAGAAAGATCTTAAGGAAAAGGTAAAGGAAAATGTTATTCCCATATTTTCATAGAGATTTTTTCACCTACATTAACTTTTTTTGATAAATTGTCCATCAGCCACGATTCGAGTGATTTCCGGTAGTCACATGGCCCCCGAATCGACCAAAGGACCCCCGGGGTTGCGTATAGAACGGGCCGAGAGGATCCAGAGAGGACCCAACGGCAGGGGACACCAACTGACTGTCAAATGGTCCCTGAGGATGAGCGAAGGCTGCTTTCCAGAACTCTCCTTCCGGTCCCTGAGCGTTTCAAAGGCTTCTCTCTCTCTCTCTCTCTCTCTCTCTCGATATGCTGTTGACAAGATATCATTCGCTGCGGCACTCAAAAGTACGAGCTCGTTTTTCGATGATTCATCGATTTTGAAATTGGCTGTATGCCAAATTTCGTGGATTCGGAGGGAGGAGGCTTTTCCTTGGTCCATATGGCTCAATCCAACCCCGGAAATTATATTTTTTTGGCTCTTTTTGTTGCAACAAGAATTAGCGCCTTTGTTACAATGGGAATTTAATTATTTTTGTTACAACGAAGATTAGGCGCCTTTTTGTTACAACTAAAATTTGGTGCTTTATGTTCCGAAAAGAACTTAGGGCCTTTTTTTACAACTAGAATTTAGTATTTTTTCCAGCAACAAGCATTTAGCGCTTTTTATTACAACAATTGGCTTTTCTTGTTGTAACATGGTTTTAGTACCTTTCGTTGCGATAAGAATTTAGCGCTCTTGTTACAACGAAAAATTGAGCTCGCTTGTGATCCGCTCCCTAAACCCTCCACTTGAATCCATGTTTTTTTTCAAGCGGCCTGCAAGGCAAACCTCAAATTTCAGAGCTTTACATAAGAATGATCCTCCGGTTGCCACTGCTGCTCGGTCTTGTTTTCCTGACACCAATCGATGCAAAGCCCTCACGATCAGGTCGTGCAAAGGTAGGTGGCGGGAAATTAACCAGATAACCACCAGAATAGAGGCGAGCCCACTGCGACCGGTCGTTGAAGCACGACGGGTCGGAATGGCACTGTGGAAATGGGGCTGCTTCGTATCTTGGGTCGATCGCGCTGTCGTTAATGTCGTTTGATACTCAGGGTAAGTAGAACTAAAAAGCATGGAGACTTCACTTAGTTAACTACAACACGGGTTAAGCTAAACTTCTTCATAGAAAAACGTGCTTTTTATATTAATTATAAATCATATTAATCATTATTATATTTTATATTATAAATCTAGAATTGCCTAGTAAGTTAATGGACAGTGCTTTAATGGTGTTTTTAACGACAAATAACTATATTTAAACTAGAAAAGCTATCACAAATCTTTAAAAAATGTGGAAAATCGAAATTTTGGACGAAAATCGGGCTTTTTGGTCGAAAATTCGATATTTTTGATGGTTTTTTATAAAAATTTGTCGATTTCGCGTTTAGGAATATTAAAAAACCATTTAGAAACGCTGCCACTATTTATATTTAAAAAACGAGATCCTAAGAAAAAAGTGGGTCCCCCCGGAGATGCTAAAGAACCAAAACTGTTTCACAGCTACAAAAATACATAAAAATAAATAACCTTTCAGCCATCAACCGCTGCTGCGCCCACCACGACTACAACATTGATTGCCTGATGACGAGGGCGGAAGCGGACGAGGAATTCGACCGCTGCCTCAACAAGGGCAACTTCTTCACCAGGATCTTCACGCGGCCGGTGATGGTCTTCTGCGTGAAGTCGTTCCCCGAGACTCCAGACGACGCCTTTGAGAAGAGCCCGGAATACATGGCCTATATCGCCTCCGTCAGTTACAATTCTACAGACGATTCGATGGACACCAAAATTAATGCGAGTCCGGATGGTTATGCCCAAACGATCGATATTCCGGAAGATCGTGCCACATCTGAAATGCCAAAAGCCGAGCCTCTAATACAAGCAAGCATCGATAGGAATTACGTAAATGACATTATGGAGGCAGAAGTTACCACTACAACTACGGAAGACCCGTTTGAAGCCAGCTTTGAAGCCACGATCCAAACGGCTCCCGATTCGGGAGGCCTTGTCGATGTTTTTGGCAATTCGACAGAACCCGTGTGAAGCTGACGAAAATAAGTATTATTTGTTGTGATTGGCGATGAAAATGAGCGGGTATATTTGCCGATTTCTTTGATAAATATTACTGAAACGAGTGCTTGGTTCGATAGCGCAAAGTCTATAAAATTCAAAAACAGAATAAAGCAATTTTTGGACCCTTCTTTTATGTAAGGGCTCGAACCCGCGCTCCGAGTCTCGAATTTCCGATGCCTCGCTGTAGCAATAGACGCGGGCTAAAAATATATACAAAATTTGTAGCGAAACAATCGCAATTTTAAGCTACAAAAACGACAAAAGCGTAAAAATAAAATAACTAGAATCGATAAAAATAGCTTTTCGCAGTTAAAAGTTTGTCAAATATTCTGTAACTTCAACAAATACCTTGAAGTTAATCATCATATAAGAATCTATACCGTAATCATGTTATGCTTTACAAACTAGAAAATGGCAATTATACCGCAAAAAATAAAATAGCGTTTCGAGTTTACAAACTATACAAATTCTGTCGCCGAGCCGCGCGAAAAGTCTCGAATTTCCGAAGCCTCCATCAGGAAAAGACGCCGCTAAAATCATGTAAAACACTGTAGTTATCAATATCCTGCATTTCCAAGAACTACACCAATGTCAGCTCAAAAGTTCTTTATTTATCAGCGCAAATGTATAAGAACACGCACACGCACACAAGCACATCTCCCCAAACAGAAACGGGCGCTCACCACCCTTGGCGGGGACAGCCAGACGGGATAGCTTACACGCGAATTTGGGCGAGGTGGCGATGGTGGGTAGACGGGGGTGGTGGTGGTGGTGGTGGTGGTGGGGAGAAGGGGGTAGAAATAAGGGCCAAGAATAGAAAAACATGGACTATCATAGGGTTGACGCGTGGGGGTGGTGGTGATGCTCGATAGTTCGCGGGTGATGACCACGTTTCCTAGGGCATACAGGGGCGGTGGTGGGGGAAAGATTTTTTAGAACATCTGCAACTAGGCTCTAACACATTTTTTTGTTTGCTTGGAACGAAACAACGGGGGAGGGCAAACGAACGTTGGGGCGGGGATTTCATCGGAGCGGGCAAAACCGATGATTTTTGTGTGTATAGGGCGGGCGGAATGGGGTGGAACTTGGCGGGTCTCTTGGGTAACTTGAGACCCGGTGCTCAAGGGACCGGGCAGCAGCTATAGCTGGGATTTTTGGGGACACGCGACGCCTGGCGGTGCGTCGCGCATCACGGCGCGCAGCCCCGAGCGGGTGTTTTGGACTGGGATTAGAGTGGGCGCTTTTTAGGTGGAAAACAAAAGCGGAAGCGGATTTGTCTTTGCCGGTAGCCCCCTCCGAGTTCTGAAGCCCTACCCTCAAAAGTGTGATTTAGTGATCTAGATTTTTTTAAATACCAAACAAAAGAATAGAATTTCGAACGCTCCAAAACCCTAGTGGGGAAAGCAGCCGGCAAAGAGCAGCAGCGTGTTGAAGCAATATATTGGTGTTACACAAACAAAAAAAGCGGGAGGTGGGCTGCTTTTTAGTGGTGGGCTCAGGAAAGGTTCCATTTCTCATTCTGGAGAATGTTGCGCGAGGCGTCGCCGTTGAGGAGGTGCGGCGGCTCGATGAGGGGCGGGTAGCCGAGCGGGTTGGGGCGGGCGCTGATGTCAAGCTGGGGCATGCCGCCGGCCATTCCCATGTAGGCGGCGTTGGAGACGCCGGGTGGAGGCTGGATACGGCGATTCGGCGGCATTTGCATCTGGCTCGTGGGTTGCATCTAAATAGAACAATTAGATTTGCCCCTCTTTTTATGCCGTTTTAAACATAGAAGATACATAAAAATTAATTAGATTTCGAAAAACTCGGACTCCTGGTCAAAAATGTATCAGAAATGTACGAAAAACCCTTTTTCAAAATCCCATGAAACCATTTAAAGTAACCGAAAGCTTATTAAGCAAATAGTTGACAATAAAACCCTAAACAAAGCTACAATTTTTGTTAGGTATGTCAGGTATGTAGCTAAATAGTCTCCCCCCGCTAACAGTCCAGTACTCTCAATGCTTAACGAATCTCCAATAACTTCCCAAAAGCAAAAAATCTAACTATTTACTAACCCCATTTGCGCGCACCTTCTTCAGGATGAAATCCTTCAGAATCGCCACGGCTCCCTCGAGGCTCTCGTTCTGCAGGTTCGTCTTGTTCTCGATGCAGTACTGGTTGGCCAGGTCGACGAGCTTCGCCTGCTCGAATCCGTTGAAGAATTCCACGAGCCGCGCGATGATTGTTTGGTACTAAAGAGAACATCATTAAATTGGCCTATAATGAAAAACCCACCCTAACTTGAGCGTTGGGGCCCTGGGCGGTGTTGTGCGCGGGCGGCGTCGGGTTCGGGGCGCTGGTGGGTGGGGCGGCGCGCGAGCTGTCCCAAACGTTGCCGCCGGCGAAGCTCGGGCTCACGCCGCGCATGTACGTGTTGTGGGCGCCGGGCGCGGGTGCCGCAGGCGCCGGCTTGTTCGCACCCCAGCCGCTCTCATCGGGCCATCCGTTGGTGGTGGTGTGATTCTGGCCGGACGACGAGTTGGAGGAGGCTAAAGAAAAACAATAAAAATATTTTCGATATAAAAATCGACTCTTAAAAAAATTTCAGCAGCCATTTTGTAACTATTAAAAAAGTATATTCCCAACTTTACAAAACCAATTTTCTAAAAACTACAAAGAAGGAATTTTCGAAAATAATTTTAAATAAAATCTTTCGAATATTTTAGAAACAGTTCGATTTAAAAAAAGCTACCTGGCGTAGATGCAAAGTCGCTGGTGAGCGAGCCGAAAGTGCGGTTGCCGGTCGGGAAGAGACTGTCGGTCAAGTTGAAGTCGTTCCAGTGGCTCCACGTGGGCAGAGCGCCGGTTCCCGGGGCATTCGTGCAGTTGGTGGCAGGGCCCACGCCGGCCGCTTCTCCGCCATTGGCAATTCGGCAGGTCGAGATGGGCGTTCCTGCAAAATCTGGAATAGGAGCGTTGAAAGGAATCACGGAAACCGAAATTTTAATTTCGGGCCTAAAATTGAAATGCTAAACTGACCGTGACGGCTCGGGCTTGATGTCTGTGGTTGCGAGGCGACGGTGGCCACCGGCTTCTGAACGGGCGATCCGGGGGCTTTGTTCTGCGGCGAGATGCTGGTGCCGATTGGTGTTGGGAGTTGCGAGGCGCCGGTACGATGTCCGATGACGCCAGCCTGAAAGGCAGAAAAATTCAGATGAAAATCGTGATGAAAAAATTCGGTGAAAATGGGCTGATAATGCTTATTTGCTAGAGCCTTCCTTCTAAAAATTCCTATATATCTAGCGCTGATTAAGGATCTCAGTTTTCAAAAAAAATATCTGAAAGATCCCGTTTGGCCCTTTTCACCACGCTTCCACAATTTTAAACGGTGAGTCATTTTACACTGAAAAACATTATTATTCGGCGGTTTTTGAAAAATGGCGCTTATGCAGAGTTTCAAGCCATCTGAATGCCTATTGCTAATAAATCCATTGAAGCCTAAAAACGACCCCCCCAGGCCTAGAACTAACAAAGAAATAAGAGCTACTAACCCTGTTCTCCGGTGGGAGCACAACCGATGCCGGGACAAGCGGTTGAATCTGGACGACCTTGCACGGTGGTGGTGGTGCGGGCACGTGGAACTTCGGCAGCTCGGAGAGAGGTCTGCCCTTCTTCAGCGCCTCGTGCTGCGCGTTGAACTCGGTCTTGGCCTGAAAATATGGGATTAGAGAATGTTTTAAAAAGCGCCTATAGATTAAATAAAAAAAACAAGAATAAACCCTCACCTGATTCAGTAACTTCTGAATATCGTCAACCTTGGCCTTCCACTCGTCCTTCGACGCGGCGTACAGTTGTTGCTCTTGCGCGTTGCGTGCGCGATTCGCCGCAGCGTCCTCCATCTCGCGCATGTTCTTCGACGCCTCCTCCTTGGCCTGCTCCAGCTTCTTGGTGCCGACCTCGTAGACAAGCTCCACAAACTGGATTTCGACCTTCTTCGCGCGCTCGAGGGCTTGGTTGTGGGCAGCGGTAGCCTTCTGCTTCTCAGAAGCAGCCGTTTGCTCGGCCTTCTTGAGCTGCGACTTGAGATCCTCGTTGGCCTGGCTCAACCTCGAGTTCTCGGACTCCTTTGATCGAGTCTCATCGGCGAGGTGGCGTTTCAGCTCCTCCTTGGCGGCGGTCTCCCGCTTCACCCGATTTTCGGCCTCTTGGTACTTCTTTTTCTCAGCCTGAAGATCCTTGTAAAGCGCATCCTTTTGCTCGCGAAGCTCGTCCTTCTCCTCGGCCTGAGCCGTCAGCTCCTTGACGCGCTTCTCCAGCTTCTTGATCTCCTTGTTCTTCTCTTTCAGCTGGTTGTTCAACTTGTCCTTGATCTCCTTCTCGGACCTGAGCTCGCCGAGCGTCTTTGTCAGGTTCTTCTCCGACTTGTCGGCTTCGCGCTTGGACTCGTCGCTGAGCTTCTGAAGGCGAGCCTTCTCCTTGTCGAGCTTCTCGAACTTGGTCTCGACGGCCGACACGGCCTGCGACAACTTTTCGCGGTCCTTGCTGTGGATGTAGTAGGAGTATTTCTCGGCCTTTTGCTGGAGATTTTCGAGGCGCGCGACGTGACGGTTGAGCAAGTAGTCTTCACCGGAATCCCTGAAAAAAGGAGATTAATGGTTGCAATAAGGGACCTAATACATTCCAAAAACGTTTCAAAGTCTAAAAACCAACTTTTCGTCGTGAATCGGGGTCTCGATCTCTTCCTCCTCTTCAACGACAACCATATCACCGAGCTTGCACAGCGACCGGAGCGCATTTTGAACGTCCGGGTTGCGAACACTAAAATCATAAGCCTGAAATTTAACGATATAAACTCACTTTTGATCAATATGCTGGGTGATGGCGCTGAGCTTCTCCTCGGCCTTCTTCGCGTTCACACAGCACATGGCCATCACGGAGAGGGCCAGATGGATTTGGTGCTGTTGCTGGGCCGCGGCGTTCGGGTACTAAAAGGCAAATATGCAAGGAAAGGCCAGATTTTTCGTACCACTCCATTCTGATAGCCGCCAACATATTGCTCGTAGGGCAGCATCGGGGCGTTCGGGTCGATTTGGGTGAACTGCTGGGCGACCTGAAAAAAAACGATAAGATTAACTTCTAAAAGTGCTTGCGCAAGCCTAATTCGTCGCGAGCGCGCTGCAAGGGCAAATAACTTAAATGTAGAGATTTGCTAGCATTTCGTCGGGATTACATTTTGTCGAAAGTTGAACAAAATGAAAATGAAATTTAGACCATTCTGATTAGAATTTAAAAAATTTCACTTTGTATGGTAGAAAAACCTTGAATAAAAGTTCAGTGTTCCAAAAAAAATCCTTTCTGGCAAAAAAAAACCCAAAATTACAAAAATGGAGCTCCACGATTTTTTATGATTTTCTAGGAATCAGAAACTCGAAATACGCTAAATTTCACTACCCGACAGCCAACCGAAAGTGAAAAACTTGTCTTGCTCCCCCGCTAACACGAAAGCACCAAATCTGCGAAAACATAAGATAAAAACTAACCGCGACATCATCTCCCCGTCCTGCCATCGTGCTCCAGATCCGCGCAAAGGCGTGCGTGATGTAGTCCTGTGTGGCCGGGTTGAGCTCTTCCGGGGTCAGCTCGGCCGTCGCAGACTGTTGAGGCCTCCTCGGCTTTTGGCGCGCAGTGTAGTGTAGGAACGGCGACGGCGGCCAGAATCCTGCAGCGACGTCCTGGTGATAGCGTTCCTGGTCGAAGCCGGGCGGCGGCTGCATGTACTGTCCCATTGCCATCGGATGCCCGGGTTGCTGGGCCTGCTGATGTTGCTGCTGCTGCTGCTGGTGGGCCATGGTCTGCTCGTTGAGGTAGGTCTGCGGTTGGAGCTGCGGCATGGCGCTCTGGAATTGATCGAGTGGTTCTTGGTGCAGTCGCATGGCAAATTCCATTGGCGGCGGCGCCTGGAAAAAGACTGTAAGCTAAAGGAGGCTGGAGGAGCGGGTGGCGCGGCTTGATAGTGTGGCCGGGGCGGAGGAGTTGAAGGAGGACGGGGACCTAACCCTAACACAAGAAGGGGGACCTAACCTGCAGGGACGTAGCGTAAGGTGCGCCCCCTGGGCCCGGTGCCCCGAAATCGGCCGGGGCCCGAAAATTTCATAAGGGGGGACCCTTATGATTTTTATTTTCTCAAAAATTTTGCTGCCTGCGGCGCTATTTTTTCACGTTTTTACGACTATTTGTAGAGCTACATAGCCTTGTTTCTAAATTTTTTTGCCTGCGGCGCTGTTTTCTTTTAATTGTTTGAGTTTTTCGGAAAAAATTTTTCGGGGCCCCCCCCGAAATTTTTTTCTGGCTACGCCCCTGCTAACCTGGTAAGTTGGACTTATCTTTTTTTTAGAAAAGCTATCAGAAATTGGTAGAAAAGCCCGGAAAGCTAAACCTCCTAAAAATTCAGTTTCATGCACTAAACAACATAAAAATTTCCAAAAAGCTTCAATGTTCATTAAGTGAGAATCCCATTATAGGGAGGGGCAAGGCATCAAGGATTTTTTTAATAAGCATGCGTCTTTGGTAAGCCGTTACGCAATGAAAGTCCAATAAATACCAAAGCCACCTTGCCTATCCCTTTAAAATGGAGAATTAACAATTAGACGACAAGCACAAGAGAGCGGTCCTTAAAAAAGTACGCAGTTCCATAAATTCGACCGTAAAGATAATTTTAGCGTACTTTTTCGAGGACCACTTTCGGAAAAGAACAGGATAGAAATCGACCTAAAAGATCGCCGAAAAAGCCGAGAAAAACCACCACATGGATAGCAGTGGCGTAAGAAGCGGGTACCTGGAGCAGGGGGACATTTAGCTTGCACTAAAGAGAAAAGATATTGCATTGGGGGCCAAAGGGAATCAAGCCAAACCGAGGGCGAGCCATTGAGCACCATCTGGGCCGCCGTCATGCCATCGATGTAACCCACCAGGCCCTGGATCAGATGGTTCGGGTCGACGAGGTCGTTCACCATCGGCTGCATCGTCTGCTGCACGGACTGCGTCTGTGGCACCAGGGGAGCCTGAAAGGAAAAACCAGTTAGCATAGGCAAGCCAATAATTTAAAAACAGATTCGCAAAAAGCTAAAAAATACCTGGTTCATCTGCTGTTGCTGCATTTGCTGGAGCTGTTGGTTGATGACCTGCGCGTTGGCGGCCGCCTTGCCGCTGACGGCGGTGCTCTTCTTGGCCACGGTCTTCATTGGGCGCTGCGTCCTTGGCGGGGCCGGAACTCTCACCGTGGGCACGGGCACCGTCTCGCCGGTCGAATTCTTCTTGTCCTGCTCCAGTTGGTGCAGGACGACCATCTCGCAGTCGGGCTCCGTTTGGCACTCCGAGTCGCATTTCTTTGGTACTAAAATAAATTGTAAAAAGTCAAAACTAAAAAAAACGAGAAAGACCGAAAGAGGGAGAGGTAGAGGTAGAAAGAGAGAGAGAGAGAGAGAGAGAGAGAGAGAGAGAGAAAGATAAGTCCAAAAACAGACCTAGGCATAGTTGATCAAAGCGCTCAGCAAGGCACATATCGCACGGTTGTTCGTCGTTGCGACTGCGTTTCAGCTGAGGGCCTTCACCACTTCCGGAATCCGTATCCGATGAGCACGAGCCGTCCGTGTAGCTATCGTCTTCGTCCATCTAAACCAAGATTGAAAGACTGAGCCGGACCAAACGAACCTCCATCAAACGCTTGACACTCACCCAGAACAGGCGGACCTTCGCGTCGAGCCACATCATGTTATCCTCGATCACCTGCAAGCGCTCCTCAACGCGAGCATCAAAAGTCGGCTTCCACAGTTCGGCGATGTCAAGCTCGTACTGTGGAAGGGTGGAATCGAGGTCGGTTGAGACCAAATCCTTTCCTTCCGCTACCTAAAAAGAAGGTGGATTGTAATGAAAAGGTATATTTTTATCAGACCTTAGATTTCACCGAATTTTTTCCACAAATTATCATTCTACAAAAATTTTTATGGCACTAAATTTTGAAAAATGAAAAGGCCCCCTTTTGTTAAGTTTTTGATCAGTTGAAAATTCAACGAAATAAAAATTCGATCAGGTTAAATTCGGTGAAATTGCAACAAATCTAAATAACCTTAAAAATGTTAAATCAGCGCCTTAAGATATAGAAAACCAACCTTCTCCTCGTACTCCTCAACAAACGAGATTGCTTTGCGAATAATGTGCTGCCGCTGCAGCTCCATGTCCAGCGGGCCAGTGTTGGTCTTTGACGAGCGCAGGAACTGGTCGATCATCATGTGCAGGTGCTCCTTGGTGTTCTCCTCGTCCAGCGGGATCGCGTCCACCGGCAGCTCGTAGATCTGTTTCGCCAGGTGTATCAGGCTGTCCTCCTTCATGCCGCCGCGGTGGTAGAGCTGCTTGGAGAAACGGCCGTCCAGTCCGTTTTGATGGCCGTTGGCCTCTTTCTTCTCCTCGGATGGTGGTGAACCGGGAGGGGTGGACGCGCGGGTGTTCTTCTTCTTGGCCGTGGCGCCGCCGGCGCCCTTCTTGCCATTTTTGCCCTTGGCAGCCGGGACTTTTGGCGCTGATGATTGTGTGATGGCCAACCGGACGGCTGTCGGGTTGTTGTCATCTTCGGAGCCGCCGCGTTGATCTAAAAAAGACGGAATTAATTGATTGCTCTAATAAGAACTATCAAAATTAATATTTTCTCTACTATTTTGGCAAAGAAATCAAAGAAGTAGTTTATACTAATTGAATTCCTTATTTCCCCGAGCCTTTTTTTTCTTTCGCTCGTGCCCAGTAAAATCTGGTTAAATCGTGTTTGAACTTTAAAAAAAACAAGAAAACAGTAGTTCCTATTAGGCTTTATCATTCCCAGTTTTTCATGCAGCATGAAGAGTAAAAAATTTGACCAAAAATCGATCAATTTTAGCCTAAAATTTTGTCTAAATTTGGTGAGTTCGGTCGGCTGAACAACCTGACCAGAAGCCCCTTCCGGATCCGAAATGATCAAAAAAAAATAGAATTTCAGGAAATTTTAGCAAAAAAAAATACGGAAATACGGAAATGCTAAATGCCTGGAATTTTACTAGCTGCCTAAAGGGCGCCAAATGATGCCGAGCTATTTCTTATCAGACACGTCCCCAGGCGTCCCGGTCCCCATTTTTTCGTGGGAAAATCTGTTTCGCGAAAGTAACTGCCTAAAGACACACACAGGCCCCGTTTCGCTATTTACCGGGGCGGTTGACCCGCCGGGGCGTCTCCGCTCTCCATCAGCCTATCACTCTCTGCGGGCTGTAAAGCTAGACATTCACATGAGGCGAGAGAGGAGGGCCGCTAGAGAGGCGCAGACACCCCGAACGGCCCGATGGATCTACGAACGGCGAGAGAGGGCAGGGGCGGGGAGAGGGCAGAGACGCCCGGCAGTCCGAGCGCGCTCTTCTTCCTTCGCTCGCTGGCTGGCTCGCTCAGCCTAGACCGCTCAAACACGCGGCGCGTCCGACCACTCACTCGATCGCTAATCGGGGGGCTGTGCCAGTTTGGAATAATACGATTTTCCGTGGAGGAATCGGGGGATGGCGAGGAAATCGATGCAGGGTAGCCGGAGGGCAGGGAATGGGGGGAGTGTGGTCAGCTGAGTGCGGGCTGTCAAAAGCAGATGATTTTTTTAGGAAAATGATTCGTTAAACAAGTTAAAATCGATCAACGAAATTAAAAAGCTCCCCTATAAGCCTTAGAAATACCAGGTAATTTCACCAAAAGACCGACAAGGAATTTGAGCGGATATTAATTGACCGAAAGGCGTCCTTACATTTCACCGAAAATCTAATTCATTTTTGCCCTGTTCATTTGCAGAAAAAAAAAGTTTTTTTTGTCTTGTTTTAGTTAGTTCATTTCTTTTCCAATGGACGAAACTGCCTAATCTATTGCACAAGATGGCCAACCTTACAAAACCACCGAAAGCGCCTGAACGCAAAAATCCCCATTCTATTTTGCACCCAACATTAAATTTTCGGTGAAATGAGCGTCATCCGCATAACAACTCGATTTCCGAGCCGATCCTAACGTCACACACCCTCACCTTTCTTCTCTATCCGCTGGATGCTCTCGACGACCTTCTGGTCGACCAAAAATTTCTTCTGCGTTTCCAGCTTGTCCTTGATCGCCGCGTCCCGATCCTTGCAGAACTTGAGCGCCTGCGCGTTTGCCTCAAGCGCCAAGTCGATGCAGCCACGCTGGTGCTGTAGAACCGCCAGTTCGTACCAGCTGTGGATCTGCTTTTGGAATTCCTCTTTTGTCCTGGAATGGGGAAAATCGGGTTCATCAAGCGGAAGGTTGCTTACAGAATGTTCTTCGGTGCGTCCGCCTTCACCGAGACTTCCAATACCACCCGATCGTCTTTGATGTAGCCCTGGCTTTCGTCCAGGATGTCCTGAAAAGGAAAACAAATAAAAATATTAACTTTGCTAAAATTACGAAGAACCCCCATACGGCTAATACGAACCAACTAAAGCTCGACATCTTTTTATAGTGCTCAAAATACGTTTTCCAACCCCGTGCGATCTTCATAAATATTCAAAAGGGTACGGAATATTGACCGCATAGTTTTTAACGTTAAAAAACTGCAACGTACCGCCCAAGTCATGAAGCACGAGTATCCCCAATCGTTCTCCTTGGCTGTGTAGGTGTGATTTGTTTTTCGATGGAAATGTGCCACGCCAGGCTTCTGCGATATAAGCCGCAGTTCCGCCGCCGCTTGACATTGCCATGTGCTGAAAAAAATGTTTAACATGAGAAAAATGGGCTATCAATTCGCCACGTTTATTCAGGTCCACGACACCAGAAATGACAAAGACAATTTGCAAATGTCCGTTTCTAGAACTCAATTCCCAACAAAAACTCACTCCGAATAAGCATCCGGACAGCATTGCAGAAAAAAGCCCAAGCATTTTTGCGTCCCCTTCTTTTTGGACAACGTGCTGCCGTGGCATCACCATGATGCGCCTAAAACCAAGTGAAAATTTCAGATACTAAACGCGAAAAACGTACCATTGCACCCCGTTGATGTTTTTACTCGGTCCCCGCACCGTGTCGTTCATATTCGGAAAGTTTTGGATCATCAATCGCAAAACACCCTCCGAGGATGACGAGGCTTCCGCTTGCGTCGACGTGTCGACTGAAAAAAAAGATAAATAAACATTGTAGTTTAAAGTTAAAGCAAAAGATAAATCAAGAAAAATAAGCAACAAACCTTTCGGCGTCAATAAACTCGCTTCCCGGGGGTATTCCTCGGTCGTGTCGGTTTGGCAGGCCACCGATATTCCGTTGGGACGTCGATTCCTACGACTCCTAAACCAAAAGGTATGCTAAACTATAAAAAAGGTATACCGCAGCGTATGACCGCAGGAGGCATGCGACGGTCGAACCGGAAATGGGCGTAAGGCGCCGACGACTCCTTGTGCGCGCCACCGCAAACTGAAACGAGAAAATTAGATTAGTTTTCTGGACCTCTAATCAATTTACTAAAAAGAAAAATCGCTAAGTTTTTATCGACTTCTGTTCACAGTTTCTCTTCGATATTCAGAAAATTTCATCGAGTTAGGCCTAGCGTACTTGCGGTAAAAAACGCCCTGATAAGCCCCAAGCCACGCCCATTTCCTTGTACAATGATTTCACAGGGTAGCATATATAGCCGCAAACTTCCACGCCCACTGCTATTTTCGGTAGTTCCCCGATTTTCAGTTGCACAAATCTATTTTCTAAGTCTTCTCACCTACCGAACACCGCGACTAAATTAAAATTTCAAATACCGTTCTCCCCGCGAGTCCGTCCCTAATCCGGCCCCCAGGCAAATCCAAAATCCGAGTCCCAAATTTCCACAAGGCGCCAGATTTAGCGATTGCGTTGGCCAGCTAATTTCGCAGATAATCGCCGGGCAAAAAAAAGGCGTGAGATTCGGGTGAAAATTTTGAGAGTACGTCCAAGTTGCCATACAAAGCCGCGGATATAGAAGATTGAACGATGTTTATAAGAGAAAAACTGCGCACCGTGGCCGGAGTGGTGGTTGTTGTCCAGCTGGCCGGCTTCAGAGGGGTCCAGCGGTTGCTGGCCGCAGGAGCCGCCGGCTTCGCCGCCTTCGTCGTGCATCGTCTAGAAAAAAGCGACGTTAAAATGTATATAATAAGATTAAGAATATATGGAAAACAATAGTACTTGGAAAGATATCGAGAAAACTAAAAATTAGGTAAAAAAGCTGCAAAAATGCCAGAAAAACCACCGGGCTAACGCTACGTCAGCATCCAAAAAATCGGGTCAATTGGAGTTTTCCGTACTCCAAAAACCAAATCCACGCACTAATGAAAGCCCAATTATTACAGCTTATAAAAAGTAATGAAAGTTAGTAACCAATATTATGTTTCATTTTCTCGACTCTAGACACCATAGATACTTTTTAGGCAGTGTCCGCCGGTTCGTTTTCGACGCCTTGATGGCAAAATATCGATTCGAGCTATGGCTGTGGGAACCTTGCGGAGATCGGAAATAAGCGAGAGCGGTATATAGTTTCATTAACTGGACATTTCTCTCGGCTTTTGCTAGTTTTAGGTCCGGTTTTGCAAGAAAATCGAAGGCATATGAAAACGGTTGTTAAAAAGCTGTCAAAAATGAACGCAATGCCGAGAAAGATCTACAAAAAGGGCAATAGCTTTTTTTTTAGTCCATATTTCTTCATAGCAATCGGTAGGGGCGCGAATCTGATAAAACGGTGGAACTGCAATTGCGGCTCGCCGACCTCCCCGGTCGATCGATCGGGCGGGCTAGACGCTAAGTTTGCGAAAGTTTGCGCAATCCCGGGCGTTTTGTTTTAGCGCATCACAATCGTGACGTGGTATGAGAAAAGTTAATAGAAACCTTATTAGTTGACTTTACAACAGAAGAACGCGCTAGTAAAATGGCCAACATCAAAACTAGTCATGTTGTTTGCCGAATGAGTCAAGACACATCAAAAATAAGGTGGGGAAGGCCGCAAAATGAATTTTGGCACGTTATAACGTTTTATTTTGTAAGTATTAGGCATGGAGTTAGAGTATTTTCTAGCTTTTAATTAATTTATGGCTTAATTTTTGAAAATTTATCGAAATTAAGACAAAATCCAGAAAAATTCAAGCTCCTCGGGTTGCAGATACCTAAGAAACGCTAGAACCTTGCAATTTACAGAGAACTACGTCGGAAAAACATCTGGTCAGGCGCGGCGCGTTGTTTATATTGGGGCAAACTTTTTTTGAAGGGCAGGCCTACACCGAATTTTCTAAACATTTAAGAATACTCAACACTGGCTCGTAAGTTGAGTTTTTAGGTGCAGCTGCTAAAGCTTCCGGTTCCACGTAGATTTATCGATTTCTAAAGGTCCGATTGATCGATCGGTTTTGCTGATTGGATCTTCAGAGGCCCCGGGGGGTCAATCCTTGACCGAAAGTCAAAAAACGGGGGAGCGGCGCAAAATTCCAGGGTGATGCCCCGGCGGTTGGCCGGAATCCGAATCCGGCCTGCCCGCCTGCGAGAAGCAGTGATCAGCAGCAGAAAGACGTAAAAGAGCCCTCTTCCTCCATCCATCGTCGACCAAATCGTGACCGCGACGCGACCCCCGGGCAGAGCCGCAGCCTCACCCACTACGTGTGCCCCCCAACCACCACTCTCTAGCTGTCTGCCTCCCAATTCTCTGGCCTCTCTGCACTCTCCCCCTCACCTTCACTCTCTCCGCAGTGGCCGGCTCAGCCAGTGGCCCCGGGAATCGTGGCGAGACCCGAAAGGCACCGTAGCACTGGTGCGGGACCGACCGGCTGTGCTAAAGGGGCCCACAGATGGGCCAAATTTCGAGGGCACCCCCGGGAAAACGGGGTGGTTTTTCGGGTGTTTTTTGGGCGGATAGAGGGGGGTTTTGAGATAGGGGGGCGGTGCGCGGATCGACCAATGTGGTGGAGGCTATCAAAACGTGGAAAAGCGAGGTATAATATTAAAAAGTAAAATTATCATTTGAAAGCTGTTTCGATTTCTATTTTTCATAACTTTTAGGAGCCCTTGTGCTCTTAAAGTTGCTATAAATGGAGTGCGCGGATCGACAAATAAGGTGATGGCTATAAAGGTGTATCCACATCTACCTGAATCGTTAAAGATTAAGGTAATTAGTCTAAAAAAACTTTTGTTTGATTTTTCCTAGCTTTTTCGAGTCTTTTATGCTGTGAAAGCTTTTAAAGCTCCTGTAGACACCGAGAAATCTAGTGATCCTACCTTATATAATTTTGGCGTGTAACTGTGTGTGTGTGTGTGTGTGTGTGGATGTCACTTTCGAGGCCCGATTTGAGGGCCTTCCCGTGTCCAAAATGCCCTAATTCTCCGTCACCCGGGGGAATCGACCCTTCTGTTTCCAATGGCGCTTTCAGAATTTTGATAAAATACAAGTTTACAAAGTTAAAGCCGGTTTTACTCATTTTTGGGGGTAATTTGCATAATGTGAAAAAATAGAAATTTCTTCATTCTTGCAAGTTGCACGCGCGCGTGTGGTGGGCCGGGGGGAGGGGGTCCGAAGGACCCGAGCTATCGGAAAGTCAAATTTCTTATGCAAAAGCCGCATTCCAGCGCCCAAGGCCCGCGAAGCGGGTTTTGGGCGCTGGTCATACTATAAAAAAATAAAAGTATGGTGGGAACTAACGCTATTCAAATTTATGACAGCTCTTCAAGACCTCTATGCCGGAAATACTTTAAAGTTGTCCGACATGCTGAATTCCAGGCTAACACAAGATTTTTGACACTTTCTGGCCGGCGTGTCGGAGCCAATAAGGGCATTACGCTTCGAAATTTCGCGTCAGTAGGCGTGTATCGGAGTTAATGGGTAAGGCTTAATCGAAATCATTGTTACGTGTAAATCCGTAGCCTAAAAACTACTAAAAACGAGGAAGCGATATCCCGATTCTGATTCCCGAAGAAGATACATGCAGAACATTGGGAAAATTGGGCCAATCTGGGGTGGCAAAATTGGGTGCTCGGTTCCCTGCCGCAGTACGCGTCTCATTCTGGCATTTTTCTGCGGTTTTTTGAGGGGTTCTTGGAAACTGCTCGTAGGGCGCGGCATGCTAATTCTGGTGAAATTAATTTGCGCAATTACAGCGCGGGTATTCTGGTCTTATAGGGTTTTCGAACATTCCAAACATAATTTTTGTTTCTGTTTGCTGGCGCATCGTTTTGAAAGGTCTTTTTGTAGTTATTTTAGGGTATAAAAATGCTGTCGGCATACTCTAAATCGGCAGTGGTGGAAGAGGCTTCATGTTAATTCTGGTGAAATTAGTGTGCGCAATTTCAGCGCGTGCGTCTTGGATGAATAGAGTCTTTTCGAACGGTCCCATGGTGAGTTTTATTACTGTTTATTTGACGTATCGATTTTAAGGATTTTTTCAGCTATTACACGTTATAAAATACCGATGAATACCCTTAAATCAATTTGCTATCCAAAAAAATCTCCCAAATTCCCCTGTTTTGCTCATAACTCTTTTGGGGGGTGTTCGTGGCGAGCGGTTCGGACGCAGCGGCCAGCAGCAGCAGCAGTCGCCCATAAATCAGCGATCTATCTACAAGATTCGGGTAGCGCACACGCATAGCTGGGCGAGTGGAGAGAGGTGAAAGAACGCGGCAGATTATTGGGGTATGGCGAGTGGTGTGTGTGCGCGAAATTGATGGATTGGAAGCAAATTAAGGGTTCGGGTGGGCGGGGGTGTCACTGTCCCTTTAAAGGAACTATGAAGGTGGATTTCTGGTTTTTTACATGTATCGACTGGTAGTAGCCTCGCCGTATGGTACTAGACTTCTGAACTTGCTGAAGGTTCAGAAGTCTCTTTAAACTAAACTGCTGTCTACTAACTGTCCCTGAAAGGCACAAATCCTTCGATGATTTATCATATTTCATAGATTCACGAAGTAATTTTCATAACCCTTAATTAAGGAATTCATAATTTTTGTATACTTTTAGGGTTGTTTAAGTTGTTTCCGAGTGTTGATGTATGTTTAAAGGAACCGGCAATGCATAAATCCTCATTGTGTGTAGGTCTTTAACTGGCGTAATTAATATGGCGATGGGAATATGGCGTAGATGTCACTGCACCTGGCAAATGCTTGGGCTTGAATTATCGGGCCCGCAAGTGGTCGTCAATTTTTTTTGGCTTGATTTGAACCGTTTAATTTGTTTCAAGGGGTTAATGTAAGGAACGAGCCAGACATAAATTCCAATTTTGGCGTAGGTATTGCACTAAATTTGTAGTGTACAGTAATTTCCCTATGGACCTAAATGAGACGAATGTGGCGTGTGTTGCTACACCTGGCAAATGATGAATCATCGAGCCGGCAAGGGTTGATACGCTGATTTTGTGGGTTGCTTGGGAGTTGCACGTCCCGCTAACTCAGACTCTTGCCTTCCAAAAATGACTAAAAAAAATTATTACAGTACGCCTGGCTGGCTCCGGCGTTAGAGCGGACACGATAGCTTAGCTTTCAGATGCCCTTAGCAAAAGAATTGATCATTTTTTACGTGGCGCTGTCCCCTAAATGTATTTTCTTTTGTCACGCTCCCTTTAAAAAACGGCAGTTGGACTCTCTTGAAATCGACCCTTCTTTTAAACTTTAACTTTTAAAAGTTGCGCTCAACTGAACAGTTTTTCTCATCAGTAGCGAAAATTTCGCGACTTTCCACCATTCAGTCTCTACCCTCTACGTGTGTCTGCAGGCGATTGATGGGTGAAGGATTCGCAGGGGAAGAGATGGAGGAAGAGCCGCTTCGGCAACCGATCGCCCTCCTGAACCAGTTACACGCATCGACGAGCCATTCCTTTCAGCTCCCATCCACGAACAACACAACCACCCCCCGCAGCCCACTACCATTTCTTTGGACGAAAAAGATCCCTGGGGTCACAGGGAGAGACAGTCAGTGGTTGGGATGCTCAGCTGACCACCCGGATTTAGGAGATCGATAATGGGGAGGTAAAGAAGAGGAAAAAAAATCGAGATTTAAAGAAAAAAAATCGACTTTTTAGATAGATCTGCTTTTTAAAGGGGCCGGCAAGCCACTGCCACGGCTGTTAGGGGAAATAATTCGTCGGCGTAGGCGTTGCGCCGCATGCCCGGCAAAATCCATAGGGAATCGATAGCGAGCAAAATATTTAACGGCAACTTGCTTCCCCATTTTAAGGGAGTGGGAAGCCAATCTTTTCTGACTATCGCTATTCTTTGCGGTCCTGCTCTCTCTCTCTCTCTCGCTCTGCTCTCTCTCTCTCTCTCTTTCGCGCGCCCTCTCTCTCGCTCTCTCTCTCTCTCTCTCTCTCTCTCTTTCGCGCGCTCTCTCTCTCTCTGTCTCCCTTTCTCTCTGTCTCTCTCGCGCTCTATCTCGCTCGTTCTCTCTCTCTCTATCTTGATCTATCTATCTATCTCTTTATACATACCATACATTTATTCTCCAAAAAATCATCCATTTCATTAACCTTGAGTGAAAGTCGGGATCGGGCCACCACCGCTGCAACGGTTATTCTGGAAGCAGCAGACGCAGGCGCGGTTGTCGGAGGAGGCAAAACCGGAGGCTTGATCCTATAACGAACTTTTACCATTAAACCATGATGCGCAAACCGAAGACAGTCCAGCCTGAAGAGCGCGGGCCTGGCAGCAACCGGAGCACCTGGTCTGGATCGGGCCATCCGAGCAGGCCACACTGCCGCTAGACCCGTCGACCTGGGCGAGGAATTGGGTGTTGCGGGAGCAGGCTGGAAGTGTTGGAAGGTTAAAGGGGTTCGGACAGGGCGAATTCGGCTGTATTTCAACGGACTTTTCTCAAGTCTTTTAAAAGGAGCGTGACAGCAGCTGTTGGAATTTTTTCAAGCTATAAATGACTACAAATTGTTCAAAAGTCCGTCCTAAATTAGACTCATTCGATATCTTTTCGAATTTGCAGCCCATTTCCGGTCGTTTAATGGCTTGCTAAATTGCTGAGGCGAAACCCTGCAACGGGGTCTTATCACCTGCCCCATCAAAAAAATATTTTAGTGGCTCAGCGACTTCATGTAACTCTTTTTGGCTCACCAATAATCCAGCTAAAGAGATGTTTAAATGGTGTTTAAATCGTTTTCGGGTCCAAAAACACTTGTTGAAAAACCCACTAAATCCGCAGGGCAAATTCTGGTTGAACTGGGCGCTGACGGCCAGCACGACGGCGGAAATCAGGAGGATTTTCGTGTACATTTTGACAATTGCAACCCAAATGCGGAAATGCGGATTTTATACCCCTAAAATTTCATCCTTTATTTACATTTCAACGCAGTCAAAACATGAAAAATCATTGGGGATCACAAGAATCATCGCCCCCGAAATGAGCGATTTTTGAGCAGGAAATGACGAAAAAGGATAGGTTTTAGCAGAAAATGCAGCGAAAAATGGCTATTTTTCTAGCAGTGATTTCCGTGATGGTGACAGTCGGCTTTGTTCATCTCCTAAAATCGGCTTTAAATGATTTTAGCTTGATTTAAAAACTACCTTCATCGCATAGATCAGCCCTGGGATGTAGAAGAGCATCGTCAGCATTATGCAAATGCACATTTTGTGTCCATCACCGGTCGCCAGGGCCACGGTCATTGGCTAAAAAAGGTAAAATATCATATTTTTGGATTTATATTAAGGCGCCGAGACGTTTTTGAGAGTTTGTGAATTCTTTGCTCTCGCCTAATCCATTAAAGAGCTCGAGAAGATGCATTTGGCGAAAAAGCAAAGCATTTTGCTGCGGACGGGAGTCGAACCAGCGATGGTTTACCCCACAGCCCAGCGTGCTAACCAGTACACCATGGCGCCAACCGAGCCGCGGCGGCAAAAAGCCCTCAAATGCCCTAAGGGAGTCTCTCAGGCCGTTTCCGTGTTTTTAGCTTTGCCCTGCGCCGAAATTCAGCTTTGCATAAAAATTCCGAATTTCGAATATGAATTACGTCGATAGTAGCGTCTCGTCGGTCCGTCACCCCGACGGACGCCTGCCGATCTTTCTCCAGCCCTTTAAGCAAGATCGAAAAACATACCGGTGAGAAAAATAGGCAGCAGCATTGCCACGAGTCGGTCATTTTGGATGATCTGGAATTGGAAACCTTTATTGATGGAACGTAACGTCTGAGATGATATTTTAAAGGAAGTTGGCAACCAGAAAGCATGGAAAGTTCTAGTATATAGCGAGCAAGAAGGGCAAATTTCACAGAAGAACGATATTTCCGGCAACAGATTTTCACCAAATGCCCAAATTCGGGGAGATAAAGGCTATATTGATGTTAAGTTGAGAAGTTGGTAAGTTAAGTTGAGAGGTTAAGGAGATGAGAGAGAGATGAGATAAAGGCTATGTGTATTCTTAGTTCCGGAAAATTTTGTTGTTTTGGAACCATCCAACAAGAGCCGTTTCAGTCCAAATTTTAACCTCCGACCCAACGTTTTGCTTTGTTAGATTAAAAAAAAACACACAGCTATTTGAACCACGAAACTGAGTAGCTGTACCGCCCTACGTCTTTCCGGAAGGCAAACAAAATTTATCAAAATGTAAAGAAAGAACCCCGAACCGCGATGCATCAAAAAAAAAAAACATATCAGACCCTGAAACACCGTAACAAAACCCGGTGAACCCAGCGCTGAAACCCCCGTGTGAAAGCGAAAAAATGTGCATACATGTCGTCGCTCAGGCCTTCTCAAACGATAAGCCTCGGCCATAAATACGAGGAAAAGCGGAGCCCATCCCCCCGGAATGGCCGATGCCAAAGAAGGGCTTTTCGTGGGGCGGATGAGTCAAGACATGGGGGGCTCTTTATCAAGACCGAGTGATGTTACTGCGTCCAATATGAGACGTGGACAAATATTGAGTAAACCCGGTGGGTTTTGGTGTACGTATATTGTCATACCGGGACGCGTACGGACCAGTGAGGTGCGTCAGGAGGGAGGTCAAAGCGCGGATTCGATGAGTAATGAGTGTAATGAAGGGTAATCAGCTGCTTGTAGTTCCGGATAGGAGATCAGTTCGCTTGGGAAGCTGTCAGCAGATGTTGTACTGTCGCCTAGTGGGTTTTTGAAGCATATCAAGACGGAAAAGCTCTCAGCTCTCACCAGGTATTAGCAGTAAGCCCAAAAGCTGACTTTATCGCTTTTTGCGAACTGCAAATACAGTCGAGCTCTTTTTCTTTCGCTGTATTTATCTCTCCCTCCCTCTCTCTCTCTCTCTCTCTCTCTCTCTCTCTCTGTCTCTCCCGATTTTACAACTTATTTCGCGTTGTTCTGGACCTTTTTTGCTTTTTAGCTCCTTTTGATTTTCTCTATCACTCGTGATATGTCTCTCTCTTTCGCTCTCTCTTTCTCTCTCTTTTTCGCTTTCTCTGTCTCTCTCTGTCTCTCACTCTCACTCTCTCTTCTCGTGGATCTTTTGTCTTTTTTTGAAGCCAGTTCCTACCTCCAAGTTTGAGAAACCAAGCTAATATACCTCTTTCTCCTAAATGCGCCAAAATTTTTCATGCAACCCCGAATCCGGTCCAGAGGGGAAGAAATCGGGGGATTTTCAGCGACTTGGAAGAACAGGTCCGGTAAAACAAGAAAACGGGGGTGAAAGGGGTCAGTTAGCCGGGCTAGTGGGTTGCCTAAAATTTGGATCGTCACTGCCGGCCGGCACGTTCCCGCGGATGAGCATCTCCTGGCTAATTCGAGTGACATTGATCTTCGGGTCGATCGGGTGCGGGATCGCGAGTTTCAGTAAGGGAACGGTTATATGAATTTTCCGGAAGCTGCAGGCAGTCAGCACCCATTTTTATGCTGCTGTTAAAGCCGGGCGTTGGAATTTTTTACAATTACCCGATGGATGCATCAGTTCATTAATGGGTCAGCATCGACCTTAGGCCAATTTAGACAATTTGTAACGATTGCTACCCTTTCAATAAAGCTTTTTTCCAGCCGCCCAGTGCTTCACCACTCGCTTCAACCAGGCAATTTCGAATGCAGACCCGGTTGCTGAACTTTTTGAGCTGAAACTTCAGGACTGCCTAAACTACTGTATTCTGAATGCTGCAAAAGCGGGGGTAATTTGGTCTATTATACGTGACTATGATCCGCGAAACCTTAATTTACCTTTCCTAGGTAGCTAACAAGGCAGTGTCTATTTTAGGACGGATGCGCCTCGGTCGTCTATCACAAAGAGTACAACACCTGTCAGATTTACGGCCAAGATGGGACGATGGGTGAGTCAGCTCTCGGAATTTTCAAAGCAAAAAAAATTTTTAGGAGGTTCACAAATCGTCGCAGCTCAAAATCACGACTATTACAACAGGACAAGCTTTATTGGGGCGTGCCAGGATCGAGTGGGTGAGTCGATTTATGTGTTTTTTCAGATTAAAAAACTAGTCCATTTTCTGATCTGTAATCGGCTTAAAATGATGTAAAATTGTGTGCTTGCAATGCATCTTTAGTTCCAAGACGCGGCTATCAGCAGCGTCCTCGACAGTACAGCGTACGGACGGTAAATGTAAGTTTTCGACATAGAAAACGGAAAAGGCCTAAGCTAAGCCTAGGCAAAGCCTGGTCTCGAAATGCTACTCCAACTTCCAATTCAGGAACCTTTCCCCGGCCCACCAAGCGTACTCGTCAGTTCAAAAGACTCCTCCGAACAGTCCAAAGAGGAAAGTGTCGTGGTTGAAAGTATCGATCGTCAACTTCCAGTTGTGGTAAAATTAAAGCCATCTTCAAAATCACGTACCCTTTCTAGGATTCCGAAGCAGCCGAAGCCGTCGAAGCGCTACGTCTGAAGCATTTGGCCGATATTTTGGATGCGGATGAGGAGACTCCTGCAGAGGCTACAGCAACTTTCTACAATCCAGTGATGACTAACGGTTCGTTGAATGCGATTTATGAAGTTTTCATTTAGTTTGCACAAAGCGAGAGGTTGTTTCCTATTTTGTGCTCTTCGGGCGATCGCTGTCTGCTAAAGTGCGACCCGCCAAGCTTCGCGGGGTCGACCAGAGCAGTTGTATTATGTACTGCTCACAGAATATTGTAAGTTGAACGGCGAAAACTTCAGTTTACAAACCAAAATGCAATCAAAATGGCCTATAATCTTATTTTTAATTGTTTTTGCAAGTAAAAAAAAAAATAATTGAAAAATTATTAGAGCTATTTTCTATGGATTACAACTGATGTACAAATTTTAAAATTACGAATTATATGTATACCGGATTTAAAATTGCTATTTTAGAACGCTACCGGTTCAAAATCCCCTTGCTACGCCGCGAATTACGACCCCGCTAGAGAAGAGTGCCGCCTCTACGGCCGAGAAGCAAAGTGGACCGCCATTCGGCCAGATTGGCTGAAGACCCGAACATCATTTTTGCGGATAAATTCTGTATGCAAAGTGGGTTATATCTTTTTAATGTAGAAAAAACCAAAAATTCGATTTTAGCCCAAAAAGATTGCTCAGCCGATTCACCCTACGTCGTCTACCTTCACAAGCAGATGACGAAGAAGATTATTTCGCACTATCCCGATGTTCATTCTATCGTTGCTTGCATGGCGTTATGTATTGACCATGGGCATTGTAAGGTATGTTAGACGGTTGTAGGAAGGTAGTCCGTAAAACTATAACGCTTGTGGGAAACAGGCCAAATGCCGACAGCATAAAAATACCGACAACCCAACTTTCGATTTGCGAACGAATGCATCCCAAGTCCCTTGGATGCAATTTAGCCAACTGCAGGTCAGCGATTTGGCTGTCGGGGTTTTAGCTTGTCGATATTTTGGGGGCCATGATTTTGGTTGTCGGCATTTTCACGGTCCATTTTTGTAAATGTCGGCATTAGGCATTTTCTGCCTAATATTCCGACAGCCAAAAATACCGAAAAGTGTGTGATTGAATTGAAATCGACGTTGTACAGCTTGCAAATTTCTCGTTGGGCATTTTGGCTATTGACATGTTGGCTGTCGGTATCATATCAATCGGCATATTGTGGGCTGAGGATTGGTTTTATTGCAGGCAGTCACGTATAAAGAAGGCGGTCTCTGCATCCTGCACGCCGGCTCGCCAGCCCTTGACCCGAAGCTTATCGTCGACGGATCTTCGCAAACTATGGTAGTCGAGAATGGGTGCCAGACGAGTGCGAGAGCAGTGCCGAGCTTATTGTCGGGGAGAATGGGTATGTATGGTTGGCCTCAAAGTTTAGAGGGAACGATACAGATAGATAAGGATGCCTGAGAGAGAGAGAGAGAAAGGGAGAGAGAGAGAAAGAGAGCGAGCGAGAGAAGAGCGTGAGAGAGAGAGAGAGAGAGAGAGAGAGAGGGAGGTCAGAGAGAGAGAGAGAGAGGAGAGAGAGAGAGAGATCCCTACGTTTCAGAACGCATGGAACCAGCCCAAGAAACCCCTGAAGCCGAGGCTTCCGAATGGGGCGAGTGGTCGGGTTGCCAATTCGGGTCTCGAAGCGCCAGACTACGCTCCAGAACCCGCGAATGTTACTCGGACAACTGTGACGATCTCCAGATGGAGGCCTGTAAAGCTGGAGAATATTAAATTATCGAAGTATTTTGATAACGAGCTGTATAACCCACACTTTTCATGTCTTCACATCATCTCCCCGGAATATGCCATAATCCTATCGATTTTTTCCTAATCCATTACATTCCGCCTCCCCCTACTTTCTCATTGAACTCAGTGAATGATTTTTGGGTATATTTTGTGTGCATAAATATGAATATTGTCGAGTTCGGCCGATTTCTTACATTTCGAGAATTTTTAACAGCAATGTACAGCGACAATTTTGCATTTTTTTGGGTTAACGAGGTGATTATTTCTTGTTGTAACCGCGATTTTTAGGGCGGGTAGGTTGTCGACCTCCTAAAAATTCGTATTAGCTGTTTTTGGTCGTTCTAAAAGATCAATCCATTTTTTTACGCCAGCCTGGTGCTCATTCTTGACCCGGACCACCTCCGGCCGGCCAGCCAAAAATCCGGATTCCCGACCCCGGCGGTGAAAATCGAAAATTTCGGTTTCTTCCCAGCTGAGGTAGACTTGCCGGGGCGATTCGAGACTTGCGGGCAATTTTTTCAATGCGATACCTTGCTCTATTTTTCATCTTTACTACAAGTATTGAGGGTATACGCAGAAAATGTAAGTTTACTTGAAATCATGGCTTTAAAAACCTGCCGCCCAGATGCTGATTGCTTTTCACACACGACTCGCAAGACCCTTGATAATTATGAGCCGATTGCTGCTTTTGAGCTGGTTTCTCTACAGACTTGTATGCTCCAGTGTATCGAGGCTCCGCTGAATTTTGAGGTAAGCCGTGCGTTAGGCTTTGCTTAGGCTTAGCTTAGGCTTAGCTTAGGCTTAGCTTAGGCTTAACTTAGGCTTAGCTTAGGCTTAGCTTAGGCTTAGCTTAGGCTTAGCTTAGGCTTAGCTTAGGCTTAGCTTAGGCTTAGCTTAGGCTTAGCTTAGGCTTAGCTTAGGCTTAGCTTAGGCTTAGCTTAGGCTTAGCTTAGGCTTAGGATTAGCTTGGGCTTAAGAAATTACTGTAAAAAGCTTTTGTATAGTCAGTAATGACCTACTTTTCAGAACAAAGAATGCTTCTCGTTCACCTACGATCGCATCAAGCACAACTGCAAAATCTACGATCATGATGGCAAAAAGGTAAATTACTTCTCAAGGTATCGGAAACCACTTTTCTATAGGTCCCTGCTATCCTACTACCCGCTATGAATTTTGATTTCTACAAGAAAATTCATGTGGGAGAGGCTTGTGGTGGTAAGAGAAAACTTGCATATGATTTTTTGATCTTTAGCCCCTCCCAAACCCCAGATCATCTACACGGAACCAGATGCCGAGCCGGATCCGACTACAAACTTCGCCGAGCACAAGAATTTCCATAACATTGAGGAGGAGCTGTTAAAGTAAGCTTTCTAAAGGAAAATGAAAACGATCGATGCTAGGGCCACGAAAGAGCTATTGAATCGAAGAGCTTCAAAAACCGCAAAGAAGAAAGATTCCGAGCAAATCGAAAACCCAAAAATGATGCCGATAATGCCGGGGAAATGCGAGACTACGAACGGATACTATGTCGTTATAGGAAACGAAATTTTGTTGCCAAGTGGATTCGATAAAAATGCGATGCGCGAATTTCCGGGAATTGAACAAGGGGATTGTGCATCAATTTGTTCGAAGGAAGAGGTACGGTAGCTGGATCAAAAAAAGTAGTGTTTTTAGAGCCCAGAGGGCGAAAAGCTCAAGTGCAACTCGCTAAACTACTTCCCGATCACTCGAAAATGCCAAATCTTGGCCGTGCTAGCCGAACCACATGGCGAGGGTGAACTTGTTGAGAATGAGGACTCGATCTATGCGGAGAAGTTTTGTTTGCCAAGTAAGTCTGGGGGAACTTGTTAGTGGCGCCATCCCTTTAAAATCGATAGCCCTTTTGATCGTGTTAACCTTATCAATCGCTTTACCATTTTAGAGCACCCTAATGAGTGCCAAGAGGCCGAGGTCTTTATCCTGCACATCGAGAAGCGTATTAAAGGAACACCTATGAAAGAAAAGCTCTCTCAAAGCATTACGCAGTGTTTGGAGGCTTGTCTGAATGAGGATGGGTGTGCTGTAAGTGATAGTCTAGCGTAAATTACTGGAAGTTTTGCCTTTAGACCTCGGTGTTCGATTCTGCCCGTGGTCGCTGTTTACTACATACACAACAAGTCGGCAGAGACCTTGGAATTACTGAAAACACCTCTGGATTTGTGTTGATCGAAAACGGATGCTATGTCAAAGGGAAAAGGAAGACGGAGAAGGTAGAGGTAGGTATTCAACGGGGCCAAAAAGTGATAGAATCGACATCATCTGTTCACTAGGTCCAGACAAGTACGCGTAGCGCTAAATTACGCATAGAAATCCTCTAAACAATTCAAAAATGGGGTCGATTCCGACAAAAGGCGCAACATTTCATCCGTAATTTGAATTGTCGAGTAGTTATCTCGATCTAGTGGTCGTGTGGGACGATTCTGACGTTTCCGAATACTTTTAAGAGCTTCGGAATAGGAGATCGAGTTGAAAACAGCGTTTTTCGCGTATCAAACTTTAAAAAAAGTGTTTTTCGGGATATTTTCGCCAAGACAACAATTGTCTGATAAGTTCAAGTCGAAGTAACGTACATAACCAATTGTATTATGCCTGTTTAGTCTCCTCGAGATCCAAATGAGTGGAGCCCATGGTCTGACTGTCAATTCAAGCTCAACGGAAAGGCAATCAGGAGTCGCACTCGAGACTGTGAAGACTGCGAAGATTTCCAATACGAGGAGTGTCAATAGAGCTTTATTTTTGGCATAAAAATTTTCACATTTGGTCACAGTTATACCCTAATTTACAAAAAAAATGGTATGAGCTTCATCTTGTACCCTTCAAGTATTCCTCCATACATTCTTGGCCGACTTTTAGTCGTTGAATGGCGTATCTATAAGGATGTTTAATTGATTTTTTTCGTAGCTTCTTAAGTATGCTAATTTGTCAAGGTAAAGAAGCAAAAAATCGGAAATAAGAATGTCTATAATATTCAAGATTTGTAATATTGCTTACCCAAGATAGTCAAATTCGATCGTCGAATTCTGCGCCTGAACGATGGCCCATATCGTCCAGAAAAGATGGGACATCTGAAAATATTGAACTTGATGATTTTTGGTATGCAAATACCGCCATAAACAGGTCGCTTTGCTGCACTTCGGTCTCAAGTTGATGCTCAGAGGGCTCAGTGCCATTTTTGGATTTTAGATATTGTTTCAGCCAGCTTCTACGATCTTCTTTAGAAGGGCAGAGCGTGAAATCGGGATTATCGACGCCTGAAAAACATTGGATTTCCAAAAAATAATGTTTTTGAAGTTTTTCAATTCTTGTAAAACGTCCCATAATCGAAAAAACATTCAACTTATCTATGGAAAACCCTCAAATTAAAATTTTAAGCATGAAAAACTAAAAAATAGAAACCAAATATTACCTGCCCACTCGCAAAAGTGATTTCCCGTGTCAAAACCCGTAAAGTTAAAATCAGCGTACTCGTAGTCGATGAAGCTCAATTTCTCTATAAAAAAATTAGATGCTTCCTTAAGTATAACTTACCATTCCTCTCATCATACAAAATGTTATAGACCAGCAGGTCGTTGTGGCAGAAGCCGACTTCCGGTTGCAATCTTGAGGTGATCGCTTCCATTTCGGCTGCACGGGCTTCCAAATTGACATTATGAAAGGCTCGGTCGTACTCGGCTTGCTTGGCTGCGTCTTCGAAGGTTCCGATATTGGACAAGAAGTTTCGCATCTTATCGTAGACGCAGGGGAGCTTGGCGTGACCCGTGTCGATGTTGTGCATTTTGGCCATGGCTTCAGCGATTTTTCTAGAAATTGATTTGCATAAGGACAAAGTCTTAGATAGAGAGAGAGAAGGCCAGAGAGAGAGAGAGAGAGAGAACGAGAGAGAGAGAGCGAGCTATTGGGATTACCAACTTACGTTTGCATCTCCGGCTTCCGTACCAATTTCACGTCCAAAGACTTGCCCGGAAGATACCCGCATACAATCCCATTCTTAAACAGTCCAAGCAGCGGTGCAGCAAGTCCTTTTTCAGCCAAAACGGCCCACGACTCGAGTTCGTGGCGTCTGAAAAAAATCATTTTTTCGGTGAGTACTGCCAAAAATTACTATGCAAACAAAATTTTAAGGCAAATATTACCGTCTCATCTCAAGCTAGAATTAACACTGCTAGGCGCCGTTAATGGAAATCGCGCGTATCTGCTTTTGCGGGGCCACGCACCTGTCTATAATCTTTTCGGTGTTCTTGCCAAAGACACGGAAAATTACTTTGTCATCATCGGAGACAGAGGCGGCAAAGATCTTGTTGGTAATGCCGGCGGTGAAGACCTAAAAAATTGGTATTATAAATTGTCCAAATTATATACAATTTTATCTTCTGGGTCCTCTGTAAAAAGTTTTAGGCGCGAAAGTAGTCCACAAAATTCTAATCTAACTATATCAAATTGGTAAAAATTGACAAAAGTCTTACTTAGCATTTCTCAAAATATCTAAAATTTCTAGGGCTCTGTCTTTGAGTTTCCGCTAGAAAAGTTGATGCTCAAAAATCGATACCTAAAAATCGCAATCGTTGTTTGAAAAAATCAGCGACGAATTTGTTTAAAAAAATCAGTTATTTGATCTTTGCCAATTTATCAAAAATCTATATCCCTGTCTTCAGAAGTTTCCGCTCAAAAATTCACCTCAAACTTGACGTCTTCACTCTTCCACTCGGGCTTCAACGTCTTGAGAATATCAAGTGCCTCGTGATCGCACTTTTTCGGGTCCTGGAGGGGGAGCTCGTGGTGGAGCTTCTCCAACGTGGCCGCCATCTTGAAGATGCACATTTTCCATGTGAGATGGAATCGTTGCAGGCGGAATTTTCAGGGATTGGAGAGGACGGTTGCGAATGAATGGCTTGATGAATGGCGGCTGATCAGTTGAAAGTGATCTTTATACTTTTGGCCTGATTGTCGTATCGTAAATGGGGGCGTGGCGGTGACCTTTAAAGGTATGCCGGAAAGAGCACTAAAGATAGGAGGCGTGGCCTCGTAAAATTTACATCTGCATGCGCGTCTGTCTACTATTGATAAGGGAAACTTGTGGAAAATTTGTCGCGACCGATTTCTATAACAAAAATTAATCATCAAAACGATATGATTAAATAACCAATTATTCTTAGATTAAAATATATTCCGAGGAAATTTGGGCTTAATAGGATCTTGGTTTATTGCGCTATCCGGGACAAAGGGTCATCGGGGTAGCCTAATGCCTAGTAACGCAATTGTAACATTTTAATTGCGTTTTAGTAAAATTTAACGATCTCCAAGATGGAAAAATGACAAAAAAAAATCCAAAAATTGTGAGAATTTGGTAGAAAAATTGCTATTTTCGAAAATACCGAAAAATTTGGCGCCCTCCCTCGATAACGCGAAAGCAGCGGGAGGATATAGGCAAATCTAGCAGAGCAACAATTAAATCCAATTTCTAATAGGTGAATTTTAGGAGCTTCGGTCTCAAAAGTCCTTAAAATGGGTTTGGAAAAGGTTCTTGTTGATCCAAGCGAAACAATGGATCGTCAAGAGTACAGTCTCGGGGAGTCCATCGAAACTAGTGATCCGCCTAGCTGGCAATTGTCTCCGAATCGGGGAAACAGATCGATTTTGGGCCGCGTTTCCCCCCTTTCCGCTGATCGCAACCAACCCCCGCATGGTCTCGATTTCGGGTGTGTGCACCCGGGCGATAAATAGGCAATAATATGGAAATGGCGCCGCTTGGGAGGTGATAAAATTCTATGGTAGCCTGATTCCAGTTAAATCAGGTTCTTTGCCTGCGAAGTTCCTTTAAAATCTGGTCAGCGCCAAAAACACAACAGATTAGGTTTCTTATGTCAATCTGGAAACGTGAAAAAGCCAACAACAAGCACGAAAAGAAAGAATCGACATTTTTAGGGACCCCACATCCACCCACCCCGAAGCTTTTCCTTTCTTTTCCAGCAAAAGTGAGAGGGGATGGGCACAATCCCGGATGCGCAGGATTCGGCCGCTTTACCCGAGCACCCCCGAAAAGCCAAAAGCCCCAAAACCGGGAACTCTGTCTGCTTGTTTGTTTGTTTGTCGTGTGCACGCCGGGGCCAAAAAATGCAAGAAGAAATTGGTAGAATATCGTAAGATTTATCCCGATTCAAGACGCGTTTAATTCTTCAAAAATATCTCGGCTCTTGGGTTGGTCTTCTCAATTTCAACCGGGTTTCCCTAGGACGAACTTCAGTAGCGTTACAAGACGTGCAGCCGGTGTCTGTGTCTGGAAAATAAATATATTCATAGCTGAAAAATTTCAAGTTTGGAAGCGTTTATAGATTTTCAAGGGGTAGTAACGTATGTGACGGGACTCCAAAACTAATTGCAAGAAAACCAATAATAAAATGGCTACCGGCATCAAAATTGTTTATCAGCGTCATGAACCTGGCCAATATCGGAACCGAGCAACGATAAAGCTCGGAATCGGAGCGATCTGGCGGCAAGCTTTCACATTGCTAGAATTTATTTTGATAGCTCAATTCGGTAATTAAATTTATAAGTCTTAATGCAGTTAATAAGACCCTAGAACCTGCAAAAAAACATCACTCCACGGCCTCCAAAGTCCAGAATGATCGTTTGACGACAAATTACACGTGAAACATGGTTCAGCAAGTAATGGGAGCTAAAACCCGTAGATTATGTTGTGAATTGTGTGTACTTACTGTGTTTATGAAAACAGGAAAAATCAATGCAAAAAGTAGAGCAAGATATTTTTGCATGGGCCGGAGAGCAGAAGGAGAAAATGCAAATGATCAGCCGTCTGTTTCGGCGATAAACTGTGTTACGGTGTGCCTGCGGAAAGCGTGCTAGATGTTCAGAGTTGTGATAAGGGACGTCCGGAATAATGGTGGCCAGCTGGGTGGATCCGGAAAGGGCAGAAAGTTGAGGTATTACCGAGAATTGAAGAGGGGAATGGTATTTTTTCAACCACTGAACGAGGGGGACGATCATTACTTCTAAAAAAGTTACTTCTAAAGTCATGGCTTCTAAAAGCATTACTTCTAAAAGTCATTACTTTTAAGCAAATTCTTGTTTAACAAAGTGGTGTGACCGAATTTTAGCGAAAATCTACAATTTAATATCGAAAATAGCGTTTTTTGTAAAATCTGGTAGGTCGGCAGTCATGCCAAGCCGATTTCTCACCTAATGACATATCTCCCATACCTTAAAAACCTTCCCCCTGACCCGATACGTGTGGAACAGCCGGACGGAAGTTGCATTAAAATGCACACACGCAGACACTATTTTTTTATATACAGGGTGTCCCAATAAAAAAGGTCACGCTGGCATTTTCTCATTTCAAATCCGATCGACCTGAAATTTGGAACAGAGCTGCGGAAGGGAATTTAAAATGTTCACAGAAACTTTCAGCCCGATCGGTACAGTAGTTTTCGAGTTATAACAAAAATACTGCTTTTTCAACACTTTTGCTTCCATTTTTCGGCTATCTTTTCGGACTTTGCATCAATTACCATCAATTTCGGCCCTAAATCCCTCATTCTTCTTAACATCGGGGATGATAACATCTTGTTAAAACTACTTAAACAACCTATTTCCAAGAGGAATTTTACGAAATAAAAAATTTTCTCGGGTAAAAAAGGGTCTTCATTTTTGCCATACATTCCAAGGCTCAATTCCGGCGAAATCCAGGTTAAAAACGTAAAATAAAGTTTATTTTTGCTATAACTCTAAAACTACTGTACGGATCGGGCTGAAAGTTTCTGTGAACATTTTAAATTCCCTTCCGCAGCTCTGTTCCAAATTTCAGGTCGATCGGATTTGAAATGAGAAAATGCCAGCGTGACCTTTTCTATTGGGATACTGTATATAGTAATTTTAGAAGGGACGAGTTTTAAAAGTACAGGGTGCGTCAAAAAAAAAGAACGAAGTTTGCACTGAAATATCTCGTGAACGGAAACGAATCAAACCATCGTTACCTTGCCAGAATGCTTAAATATGCTGGGCATGAAGAAATAACACAAGTTGTTTTTTAAGATTTTTGACGACCCACTACTCGTTAAAAAGTTTTGAACATTTTTGAAAAAGTAAAAAACTTCGAAGACGAAAATAATGGAACTTTTAATGAGTTAGGGGGACATGTAGGGTATCAAAATGAAGCTCTCGGAATGCGCTATCAAACGCATCATAAATATTATTGATCGATTTAACTAGCCGTCAATAGGAGCCTTCGGAAAATCCGGAATTTTTGAAGAAAAAAATTCCACATAAAATTTCCTTACCATCCGATCTTTCTGATATTTTGCAGTTAGCAATAAAGAGATAACTTCTAACTTTTAGCATCAAGATTTTGAGAATCCCGATCAAAAATTTTTGGCATCTTGCCAAGTCGGCCGAAACTGCAAGTTTTACGTTGATGTAGTTAAAATTGTAACATGATTAGCTTTGGCCAACAGCATTACATTTAAGAAATACAAAAAGTTATGAGGGCAATGGGCTTTCTATGGTCAACTCGGAATCGCCCTTTCTGAAAATCGGATTTTCCGAAGGCTCCTATTGACGGCTAGTTAAATCGATCAATAATATTTTACGATGCGTTTGATAGCGCATTCGAGAGCTTCATTTGATACCCTACATGTCCCCAACTCATTAAAAGTTCCATTATTTCGTCTCGAAGTTTTTTACTTTTTCAAAAATGTTCAAACACTTTAACGAGTAGTGGGTCGTCAAAAAATCTTAAAACAACTTGTAGTTTCTGTCATGCCCAGCATATTTAAGTACCCTGCAAGCTAACGATGGTTTGATTCGTTTCCGTTCACGAGTATTTCAGTGCAAACTTCGTTCTTTTTTTTTGACGCACCCTGTATTGATTTGAGAAGTACTGGCCGTCGCCCCGAACAGCCCGATGACGTGCAACCGGAATCTGCACCCCCGGGGAGGTATTACGCAAAACAAAGCCCTGCAAAAATGCTACGGCATTTGGGGCCGCGGCCTATTTTGAGCGGTGCACATGGCCATTCTAGGCCCCTCTGGGTCAGTTCCTTCCAACCCTTTAGGGCCATTCCCTAGAAAATGGGACCCCCAGCATGGAGGGTAGTATGGGACGACCACACCCGTTTGGCGAAAGTACGCTGTCGTAGGGTGTGGTTGAGGTTTTCTGAGGAGGTTTTGATGCCCTGCTCTACCCTCTCAACCCTACTCCATTACGCGTTGCACCTAGCGTTTTAGAGCTTTTCAGGGGATTCCGGGTTTTCTTGAGTCCAACCAAATCTGTATTTTTACGTAAATTACGTGTTTGTTGACTTGTTTTTAAGCATTTAGAGGCTCGAAGAAACAGCAAAAGAGATTTTTTAAAGAACGGGGAAGGCAGAATTATGGATTTTTCAGGCTTGAGCCGCGAAATTTTATGTTCTTAAAAGAGCGATATATTTTTAGTTTGTTCTTAAGTATTCGAAAGAACCCAGATATTGGAAAAAACGTTTTCTCATTTCCCCTAGGTCTTGACAACTACGGGTAGCAAGAAAAGACGAGTAGATTTGTGTTTCGGTAACAACCTGGAGCAGCGCGTAGCTGTCGACACCCAGCCGAGGAGCAGGGTCGATTCTAGCACTTCCTATTACCTTTAATTAAAAGTTTTAGCCAGCTACGTCCTCGTCTTTTAGATTGCCCTCGGCTTGCATTGGAATTTACCAGCCACTTAAACCTGCTCCAAGCGAAAAAGGTTGACCGGAACGCCGATACCAAAAATGCCGACAATTCCAAGTGGTTTTTGCGCAAAAATGCGATTTGAAAAGCTCTAATTTCAGCCATTTTTCTTTTTAAGCGTAAAATCAGGATCAGACAGGGCAGTTGGATTCCAAGCGTTTCTGCGTCGGCATTTGGTTGTCGGCGTTTTGAACTTCGGTACTTAGGGCCGAAACTTTGGTTGTTTGATCTCAAAGAAGGCAAAAAATTAGCCTTCTACCCTGACCGACAGGTTCAGCTTTTCACTCCCATCTCGGGCCCCGATCTCACTACAACCACCAGCCGGCCATCCATACACACACTATCTATCTGGTTTCCCAATTAGGCGCCTTCTCGTGGCAGCATCCATCTCGACGTCGGCTTCTTCTTCTCCTTCTTCCTCCCCTTCGTAGATCTTTTAATCGAGTGCTCGTGGGCCCGTCTCTGTGCTGCTCCTTCCTTCCAAACGGGGGTGTCTCCAACCGCCCGTCAAGTGGCCCAAACATAATTATTTTTCGACGGCCGGCGCTCCTCCTTCGGGCCGCCCACCCACCAGAAGCATCCTCGAATTCGTTAACCCCCCGCGGGGCCACCGATGTGCAAATGACAACCAGCCCTGGTGGCGAGGATCGGCAACTTTTAGCCGGATTCGTTCTGTCTTTCCAAAATTCATCGCCAAGAACCTCATGAATTAAGCGACCCGCGTTTCGCAATGCGAAGACACCCACTTCCATTGCGTAATCGATTACGATATTTTTACGGTAGCTAGACGGCTAGTGTGTTGCGTATCGCGGGTGGAACTAATTTAGAAAGAACCAAGCGACTCACGACAAAAAAAATTGCCGCGGTATTTTGTCGCGGCGGCAAACCACAACGCCCCCGTTCCATTTGGTAACCAATTACGACATTTTTATGTTAGCTAGACGGCCGGCGCGTTGCGTGTCGCGGGCTGACCTGTTTCCTAGAGAACCAAAAGACTCGAGACAACAAAACTACCGCTCGATTTTGCCGCGAGCGAGCCGCCAGCCAGAGCTGTGCTTTCTCCATCTCTTTAAATGTTTCACTACAGGACATCGTCACTATTTCCGAAACATTTGCCTAACCTATTTGCCCCCAACAGACAAGTCGAGCCGATCTAATCGTCTCGGGGCCCAAAAAAGTGTGCTCCGGTCATCAATTTATATAATTTTCGAGCCTTCAAAGTTAGGTGAATCCAATTTCACGCGCAATTTCGGGCAACTGAAGCTAAGCTAGCATGTCGAGAAAATTCTCCAATTCTGATCTTCAAAAACCGAGCTTTTTGAAATTTCTTCCTGCGTTAGGCTGCCATAAATTCAAAGAAGACATTTTCGGATAGTTCGGCAGTTCTAACCGTGGCCAAAAAAATCATATAAGCCTTCCCATCAAATTAATCGGAAATAGCCATTCTAATTTTCGCTAAAAACCCTCTAAAACCCGGCTCCACCCACCCAAAAACGGATGCATCCAAGCCGTAAATTCACTCCCAACCCCCCAAAGAATATGAGCGGGGGCGGGCGGGCGGGCGACGACTATGGCCGGTAAACAGAGGCTTACATAAGAAAGAACGGGGGGGGGGCAGGCTTTTGCCCGTCGTTTTGTTGTGCTTATGGGGTCCCGGGTTCTTACTTTTGGCCGGATGGAGGTCGTAGTGGGGATTCTACAACCTTATATTTCAGCACCTCTTCGTGGCTTTAACCGTACCTTACGAGTTCTTGGACGATACTCAACATTTTCTGAAAATTTTAAGGTATCCTGCCAGTTATTGACTTCTTGACCTCTTTGATTGATGGCAAGGCAAGATTCTTGCTCTGGAATTCATTGGCGCTGTAGCACCAAGTGCAGCGCGCCTTTCCATTACGTAACGTGAGCTTCGTAAAGGGATACCGACGGCATAGGTCTATCACCCCTGATCGACTTTTTGGCACGTAGCCAACAGGGCAGAGAACGCGCGCAAGGGCGAGACGCAGAGACATTTTCTTTCCTTCGTGTCACCGATCACTTATGCCGTCGTCATCCCTTTAAGACGTCGCGTGTCGCGGACAGGGTGAAATCCATGGTAGCCCAACTTTGCAAGTCCTTTAGCAAATCCAAATCTCGTGTGCATTAATGAAAAGTATTACAGTACTCTCACTTTCTCTCTCTCTCTCTCTCTCTCTCTCTCGATTTCCGATACCTCTAACCCAGAAAAAGTTACGATCCACCACCCAAATGCTCTGGTCCCCCAGCTGAATGCCCAGAACGGATCCCCGATGAAATTGCCGTCCATTTTCCAGCCATCATCCGCTCCCTCATTTTCTAGCCCATCCATCCCGGCTGCCAGCGGCTTTTCAGAAATTATTTTTCACCCAGTGCGAGAGCCATCATGCGCTAATTAACTGGATGGTGGTGGGCGGGTGGGTGTTGATCACAAGTTTTGGTCCATTCGCTGCCATTTGGAGCATTGAAAAGCTGGGTTTTCATCCATCTTCAACCAGCTAGCTGCCATTTCAGCTGTCACTCTCCCTTTAAAAGAGCTTTTCAATAATTCCGCCTCCGTTTTTCTGGTATCACGGACAGCCAGAATCTTGCTGAAACGCTGCCCCTAGTTCAGACCGTTGAAACTTGAGCTAAAGGGGTTGGTAAGCGAGGGCGGGCGTACGCAGACGCGACAAACGCGACACGCAGCGCGTAAGCGGGCGCGTTGCGTGCCTCGTGTTCGATAAAGCCTAACAATAAGAATTTCATGGTCATGCCGGGTCGATTCCTTTAAGCTTATTTTAACTCTCAAAATAAGGGCAACTATTTTAATTTTCAGTACGTTTTGGCGATTTTTTAGCGTTTGCCGATAATTTCGTTTTTTCGCAATGATAATTTGGTTTGCCATGCTTATCCTGTTGTCAATTTTTCAAGAGTTTTTCATGCGCAATTCTTGGTTTTTCATGGCTTTTCGACTACTAGCCTTCTACCCCACAGCAGCGGGTGGAAAAGCACGAAAAACAAGGTATCAGATCACCTTCTTTTTAGTGAAACCTGTTCGCATCTAGGACCACCCCTGAACATCATTTCAGAAACCTGCACCACGGATCCATCCATCTCGCGCGACCTTTCATCGTGTCACCGCCCCTTTAAAGGGTCAGACCACCCATCCCTCTTCGGCCATTTCGAATAGATTAGGGCCCCCTCCCCTTGGCCGACCCAAACACCATCACATTCATTTCCCAGGCACCACATCCATTCCGGCCGGCCGGGCCGCCGTCCCATTTATGATACACACAATATAAGACAGGGGCAGGATGGGCGGCTTTGCCGGCTTCCTGGTCTCAAAACTCGATTTGGATAATTTTAATAGCAAAAGAAACGGGTCATATTTCAAAAATTTGAAATGTTAAGGGTGTCTGGAAGCTTTTTATTGTTGAAAAGGCGATTTGCATGGATTTACCGTATTCGCAATGTTTTGAGGCGTTGTTTAGAGGTTTTTCGAATTTTTGCCTTTTTGCCTCCTAGAAAGTTCGAAAAATAGAGGTCCTTGAAAATTTTTCTCATGATGGAAATACGATTTGCATAGATGTACCGGATCGTCTTTTTTGCTTTCAAAAGTGATCTGCATTTTGCTAACTTAGTTCAAGCCGCACTTTCACTTACAAATTCCTTAAGAAGTGGACACCCTTAAAATACATAAAACGTATAAAGCGTATCTTAAAGCTTTTCCGATTATCATACCGTAATCCTTGGGCTTCTTACCATATTGCAAACAGTCCCGGGAGCGCTGATACCCCTCATTTTTTGAAAAATATAAGCATTGGTTGTCTTTATTTAAAGTATAATTTCCCTTTGTAATTTCACTTCCCTGATCCAAATATCAGTGCCTCCATGCCGTTCGCCCATCTGCTTGGCGCCCAAATTCTGGTCCTCGAAATGACCCAACGGATTGGGTGTGTCCGTAAAAAAGGGTGGGTGCCCGTAATGGGCTCACAACACGGGATCCCCCCTCCCTGATTATTTTGCTTGTGCTGTGGAATTGTCGCTGTGAGAAAGTTGTTCACGGCCCATGTAGATTCTGCCATACGTTAAACCCTAGGGTGAATTTAGTAAACAAATTTTTGATAGGATTTTATAGGGAAAACTTTTAAGGGCAGTACGAGCATTCTACGAGCCAGCTCACGATCGCTAAAAACGGCTTTAAGAAGCTTGAAAAAGACTTTTCATTACGATAATTTTAATGCTGTTTTGATATTTTGATGCTCTATCCATTAGAGTAAAGGTTTTTTTGTGCAAAACTTCCACACCCCTCATGCATCATTCCCTGATGTAGCTGCTCCCCTTCTATAATTCCGCATCATCATTTTTTCAGGAACCCCTGGGTAAATGACGACAGACGTGGAAGAGGAACTGCCGGAAGGGGTGTGTGCTCATTTCATCGGTAAGCCTTTTTGCAACGGAAGAAAGGGGTAGGATACAAAATGATTGTCTGGAAAATGAGAGGCTGTTCTTCACCATGATATACCTTAACTGTAACGCTAAAAATAAATTCACAGCTTTGTCTAAAACTGCAAAAACTACAATATGGACATTTGGATAATTAGAATTGAACCAGGGTTCAAGGCCGCTTCGCGCCTTTTCAACCCTGGCCCCCGTCTAGCGTCATAATATGCTTCATTTTGCATAATTCTCGCGAATTCCGATGACAAAAAAATTGAAAATCTCTCCCTCCGCCCATTATATAGACTCGCGCCATTTCCGGCATATGCTAATTAATTCCTAACAAAGTGGGTGCTCCATTTTCTAACAAAAACTTAATTTTAACGTCGAAAGTAGCATAATTTGCAAAATCTGATGTGTGTGCAGTCATCTCAGCGCCATTACGCACCTAATGACGACCATACGTTGCTTAAAACCCTTTCCCTCTTGAGATATCCTCCGGACACCCTGACGGAAGTTGTATGCAAAGTGACACACACACAGACACTATTTTTTTGTATTAAAAAAAATTTGATTTAATTTTTAAAAGAACTTTTTCAGACGTCTGGGTGGACCCGTCGACACATCCGTTCATTGTTGCACTATGCATCGTCATCTACTCCTTTGTTTTTGTGCTCGGTTTTACGGGCAATATGGGATTGATAAGTATGTATTACTAAACATCTCTGTTAAACAACTAGGCTTTAAAATTTATATACCTTAATTTCAGTCGCCACCTTTCGATACCGTAGCCTGCAAACGGTGCAAAATATTTTTATCGTTAACTTGGCGCTGGCTGATGTGTTGTTATGTTTCTTATCCATACCATTAACTCCAGTTACCCATATTTTTAAGCAATGGTAAGAGACAATCAACAAGATACCTTAACATCGACTAAGGTATTTCGGCGAATTACTATGTATGATTTGCGGGGGTCTCCAAGCCATGGGTGTCTTTATCGGCACATTTTCACTGTGTGCAATTGCTGTTGATCGTTATTTCAGGTTGTGCGGGTCACCGGGTAAGATTTTTGTTTATAAAATGCCATATTATAATCATTTAAGGTAACACATTGAGCAAGTTGCATGCGGTGCGTATTACGGCAATTTTATGGGTATTTTCCACGGTCTGCACGGCGCCCTATGTTTATCATATGGAGCTGATTGATTATAAAGGTAGGATAGCGTTATAAATAGAATTAATATACTCATTAATTAGTGAGCAAAACATTAAAAAAAATTGATATTGCTCTAAATACTGTGAAACTTTTCAAGAAAAATATATAAGTTGAATTTTTAGGCGTCTGCGGCAAATTCTGCAGCGAAAAGTGGTCGTCCCACAACGCCAAGCTGGTTTATACAATTTTTGTGCTCATCATCCAATTTGTTGTGCCCTTCTTGATCATGACGATCTGCTACCATTCGGTGATCCAAATATACTACGTTAATTAACATTATATTTCTTAGATCTTTTCCTTTCTGCGAAGGCGGGCGGCAAATCGGTTGACTTCTATTGGGCAGCAAGCAAATTTGCTGTACGTTTTGGCAGCGACAGCCGGTGGAGATTCTCAACAGCATAAAGAACAAGTAAAAATATTAATATATATGATTTAATAAAAAAAAACCTGTAGTTAACCCACCTGATCGATCAAAAGAAGCGGGTACTGGCGCAGAAGCGGCGCGTTACGGTCATATTGGTATCCATGGTATGATAGAAATTTAAATTTGAAAAATGCTTTTAATAGGTGCTAATCTTTGGTATAACTTCATTACCACACAATATCGTATCTTTATTGCTGGAACATGACCGAAATTTTTTGACGTTTGATAGTATCGACTATCAGTATATTGCGGCACTGGCGACACATTTGTAAGTTAATGCCTATGATAGCTATAGCTTTTATCAACCTAGAAATTTTTGTAAATACGTTTTAATAAGCGTTAATCCCAGTTAAGTTGTAATTATATTATCTAAATGTAAATAGGGGTCGAATCGCAACCGATAGACGCGAAAAAAACATGAAAGCAGTGTGCTCATAAAGTAAGGTGTGCAAAGAAGCCCTATGTAGCCGCAGGCTACACTGCTATTAATGCTCATATCCTCATTTTCACGATTTTTCGATATCTTTCTCGAGATACCTTTCGATTTTCAGCCTCGCCATGCTCTCCTGCGTGGCAAACCCATTCTTGTACGCGTTCCTGAACCCAGAATTCCGGGAATTGATCGTCACCGGGTTGCGTTGGGGCCCGTACGCAGTTGTCAGACGAACGTGGCAACCCACGCAAACGACGATATTATGAACAAAATTGCGATGTGGATGCGAGTAATAAACGGATCTCGGACTGGGTGCACCGCTAAATAGCCTTGCGTAGATTACCTACTCCTCACCACATCCGTTGAGACGTAGAGCCGAATATGTCGATAGGGGAAAGCTTTTATGGTGCGTATGCTGTATATACGTCATTGGGTGCGTGATGGCGCTGCGATGCCTGCACACATATCAGATTTTAGCAAATAAGCTCTTTTCGACATTTAAATGAAGTTTTTCATTAAAAATCGGAGATCCTCTTTGTTAGGAATCAATTAGCATACACCGGAAGTGGAAGTAGCCTATATAATGAGAGAGGGAGCTGTTTTATTTTTTTGACAAGGGAATCCTTGAGAATTATGCAAAGGGCAGAATATCATCGGATCAGACGGGGCCAGGGTTGAAAAGTCGCGAATCGGCTTTTCAACCCTGGTAAAAATTAAATAGATGTTCCGCAATATAAAAAGGCAGCCACCGCTGACAACAAGCAAAACAATGCTAAAAGTGAATAATGACAGCGTATGTGCTTCATGCAAAATGGGCATTGTGTAAAAGCGAAATGATGAAATTCGACATTATAGCAATAGGAATTATCAAAATCGGCATATTTAGATGATTCGGCATTTTCGGTATAATTTCAAAGATTTTCAGAACCTATCAGATTTCAAAAGAGATAGCCGCCAATTTAACTATCTACCAGGGTTGAAAAACCGCCTCGCGGCTTTTCAACCCTGGTCCCGTCTAGGACCTGTGAAAGTCTTCAATTTGCATGCTGCTTCCCGACTTCTAGCAGGAAAAAAAGCGAAAAGCGCGCCCTCCCACCCTTTTTATATGCCAGCTCCACTTCCGGTGTATGCTAATTGATTCTGAACAAAGAGCACGGCCCAGGATTTTAGAAAAACCTAATTTTAATGTCGAAAAAATAACTTTTTCCAAAAGCTGATAAGTGTGCAGCCGTGCAGCCTTTTGCTATAACTTTCTCGCTTGCAATATCTTGCATGGAAACTTTGTCGCAATTGATGCACTCTGTTAAAAAACCTATTCCAGACAACTGCGCTTTTGGTTCGCCCGTCCACTTGCACCTGTGCCTCATTTTCCACCTGTCAACCCAATCCACTTACCGAAAGCTACCTAGCCGTTTGCCCAATAAAACAAATGTTGAACCCATCACCTACAACGGAAGCATGGATCCATATAATTTATTTCTTATTCTGGTTCGGCGGCACGCTAATCTTTGGCGTCACCATCTATTTTATGCTCTCCCAAAAGAAAGCCGCCTTCAGCAAGAGCTACAAACACGCGCAGCTGAACTTTTTGATCGCCTCGCAGCTGACCGACACGATTGGCTCCATTAACCACCCAATAATCTATGCCCCGTATCCGGCCGTCAAGATGGGCTTCATCGCCTTTGAATACAACCTGTTTCAATTTCATCTCTCAACGGTACCTGGCGTGCACAGTCAAAAACACCGGCTTGCAGGCTCTATACTTCATGTTTTTCACGCACACGCTGTGCGCGTTTTTGTATACAGGGGTTATGAAGGCGTCAAAGGCCACGATGGTATTTCGCATTTATTACATGGTGGCGAACTGGTATATATTCGGTCTGTACGTAATGATGATGGCTATCGTGAATATCATGGTCTGGGTGGCGTATTATCAAGGCGTGGTACTCACCGACCAGAAACAGGTATGTTTCGGCAGTCTCTAGGGCCTGGTATTCGGTAGCCCTAGATCCAGGCAGGCCAGAAGCCAGGATCCCCTGGACGGAATGGCCAAAAAAATAAATATGAGAATTTATGCAATTAAAAAAGTGTTGGTAGGTCATCCAGCTGCTGCTTGTTTTGTTGTAAGTATTTATATTACGGTATTTTGGCCTGCAATACTAGTAGACCCTCTAGTTGATTTTTGAAACTCTATCGAATCGCATATTGAAAATGTCTAAAAAAACATAAATTTTAAAAACTATGGTCTTGGCAGGGACAAATTTTTAAAGGTTAATTTTGTTTTTGCTATACTTTTCTTTTTCACAATATTTTGATCTGTGAGTTGAAAAACAGAGAAAAATATGAAAATCCAAATTCTGCGTCCCTCGGGCGGGGAGGCTGGGTGGGGGGGGTAGAATAAACCGTAGCCAAACCTTTCTGGCGATCCCCGAAACTTTCCAAGCATTAATTAAATAGTTTGCGCGTCCATTTTATAGACCCAGGCAGCATAACATAGTTAGACCAGCCCGTTAAATAAACATCTACCTCACAGCTTTTTATCAAGAAGCAAAAAGACGGGTCGCAAACCCTACCTTGTGCGCGGCAACCGGCACCAAACCAATAACCCAACAGGCAGATGGGACCAAGACACGGCAGGCCCTTTTGCCCCGAGGGGCCACATCCACGCTTTGGCAAACAGACCCTGCTATAGCGTGGACCGATTTCATAAAATTGGGAGGTGAACGTTTTTTAAAGAGTTCGGGACAAGCCGGCACGATTTATGCAAAACCAGTTACGCGCGAAATGGGGGTCGGTCAGCTTCAACCGTAAAACGCGTAGTTTACACCACTATCGCCACCTCTCCAGATTTGTCTATATCAGCCGCCCGTCTGCGGCATTCCCGGAATATACGCAGTTCAAATCAACTCCACTATGACGACAATTATGCAATTCTTAGCCATACTGGCCTTTGTCACAATAGTCTGCTACTCGCAAACGCTGGCTATCAACTTTTATCAAAACATCGTGCTGAAGCCGAATCCCGGGGAAAGTCAGCGAACCCGAAATATGCGCCGCTACCTGTGGATGGTGTTTGTTGGGCAGGTAGGGCTGGTACAAAATTGACAACAAGTTGTAGTCAATGACTGCGATGTGCTTCCTCGCATTTCCGCTATTTTTCCTGCTGCTGGTGTTTTTGGGATTGATCGAATGGGAGCCGCTTGCCCAGGGTTTTTGCCAGCGTCCTGCCCTATACATTAAAAGTTTTCTAGTCGTCAGTCTTTTTACGCTATGGGTCACCTTTCATTCTATCGGCAATAGCCTAACGGTTCTCTTGGCCACCAAAGCCTTTCGGAGAGAGCTTCTTCGGCTTATTGGTTATGCATCTTCGGTAAGTGTCGAAAGTCTTACGCAAATGAAGCTTTTTATTACTCTTAATGAAGCGCATCAGCCGCGTTTTTAGGTTACCGACAAGAAAACCGTGATGTTCGTGTCGTCGGCACTACCAACGGGCTAATCTCATGAATAATACTTTTTGCGATTAAAGTTGGAGAAAGCACGTCACCGCCATCCAAGCAACTGCTCTTTTAGTAGTCATTAGATTAGATACTTACAGGAATTATATCCATTAGTGTCTTAGTCTCAAGAGAACAGCGGAAAACTTCCTGTGGTCGGGGTGAAGGATCCGGCCCGGTAAAATCTCACGAATTTCGAACTTCAGAGTACGAAGCCGTGAGGCAGCTGAAAATTCTTAACTCTTCCTTGCACCTACCCACATTCAAGAGCTGCACCACCCGCTTTACGAAAAATCAGAAATTCTCATGCTCATTTCCGCGTATGCGTTGTCACGCAGCACTCGAAGTCCCCCCCCCTACTCCAGAGGCTGAAATTTACATCAGATGAGCATCGTTACGGTAGTTATCCTGCGCGGGGAGTGTTGCGCGTCTTAAATTTCATGAATTTCGGACCCTGAACGTTTTACGCTACAGACAGCTGGACATACCCGACCCTATTGAACCTGGCCTCAAAAATCAATTCACCAGGGGCACCCTTCCGTCTAGCACATTGAAAAATCCGATGTTCCATTACCAGAGCAGGCCATTCCTACCAGACTCGATGTTCAACCCCTCTCCCCATGCTGAAACCTGGATCATCGTGGCTCACGTTGCGTTTGGCTGCGTCGGGGTTCGCTGTTTCGCGCTCACCACCTACTTTAACCTTACCGAAAAAGCAACGTTCACCAGGAGCTACAAGTGGCCCCAAAAGAACTTATTGGTGGGTTGGCGCCGTAAACTTACACATTTTCAAAAAGACTTCAGCACAGCTAACGAACACGATCGTCTCGATTAACCGGATCGTGCTCTGTCTCCCGTATCCGGCGCTAAAAGCGGAGCATGCCTTTTTTGAATATGATCGATTTTTGTTGCACGTTGGAGTGGTAGCCACCTGTTTTCGATAGTGCTAAATACTTTTCAGGTGTTATACGGTACCTTTTTGGCGCACACGATTTGCGCTTTCCTCTACACGGGCATTATAAGGGCTCATGCGGCCACCGGGTTATATCGTATCTATCACGAGGCGGCAAAGTGCTAAATGCTAAACAATTCAAGAAAACGAAACCCACTTGTTTTCTCGCCCTTTTCAAACACTTTCAAATGGTGTAATTACCATCCTAATCCAGGTTTCCACCGGACCGCTAGAGCGGTTTTTTTTTGGGGACGCCAAGAGGTTCCGACAACAGGAACCTTGCAGGTGTGCGACTCGGCGCCACAACTGTGTGGCATCAAGTGCATCTTCCTAATGAGCCGGCCCCCATATTTCGACGATCTCCTCCGGTACACGGTCCTATTCGCTGCGTCGACAGTCTGCTGCTATATCCATCTAATGGCCACCAATGACCAATATTCCTTTGTGTTTGGAAGTCCTTCTGAAAGTCGCGCAACTTGCGTAGATATTTGTTTGTCGTCTTTGTCGTTCAGGCAAGCATCTCGTTTTTTCGGGGGGTTTCTTTTCGCTTTTGCACAGAGTCATTTAGTCGCTCTCCGGCCTTTTTTTAGCGCGCTGCAGATACTTCTAGTGTTTTTGATCATACTTAATATAATCAAATGGGAGCCGGTCGTTCATGGTATACCTCATTAAACTCTTCCTACCTTATTTCCAACGCTTTTCAGCCGTCGCCCTGTTCACGCAGTGGGTTTGCATCCATTGTCTCGCCAACAGCTTAACGTTGTTATTCGCCACCAGAGCCTTTCGAAATGAGGCCCGGCGAAGAGAAGTGGACAGATTGCTATTCGTATCACCTGCCCCGGATTGATTTTGAAAACGTAGCCCTCCGCAGGCCCCTTGCGCAGATACAAATGTTCCGCCCATCGCCCGAACTCGAAACATGGATTACCGGATTCTACTTTGGGTTTTGGTGCATCGGGATCCTGATATTTGCGACCACTATGTTTTTTATGCTAACCCAGAAGACGACGCTAACGAGAGGCTATAAACGTGCTCAACTAAATTTACTGGTGCGTTGTCACCACATAGAATCTGGCATTGCAGACAGGTTTCCGCTCAACTTACCGACACTATAATAGCCTTCACCCAACCTATAGTCTATGCCCCATTTCCTGGGGTGAAAATGCAATGTATATTTCCACTGAATTTATTTGATTTTCACCTCGCTGGTGTAAGAATATAATTCGGCTAAAGTTAAGTTTACCCCCCCGCCCGCCGAAACTTTCAGCCATACATCCTACTAATGCGTGGAGCATCTCAAAATTTTCGCCGTGGTCGAGTTACTAGAAACATTGTTTCCTGGCGGAAAAATTGTCAGAAAATTTTGTATAACAATTATAAGTCTGGGTTTTCTTCAATTCATTTTTCTTAGTCGGAAGTGAGTTTTCGTATCTAGGCTAGCTTTAGTCCTTCAGAGCTGTCAATGGTATCAAAATGTAGCTCTTGCGCTGTAGAATCAGCCTACAGTACATTCAAATTCAGAAAAATAGCGAAAAAGGCAAGATTAGTTTAAAACCCGTAGTACATTGAGTCATGGCCACTTGCTATCGCATTTCAAAATTTTCTAAAAAATTTTCTAGCAATTTTAGGCATCAGCAAAAAATTTGTGGCAGTGATTCGACCACGGCGAACATTTTGAGATACTCCATGCATTAGTAGGACGTATGGCTGAAGTTGGGGCCGGTTGCGGGGGGGACTCGACTCTTACCTATATAATTCGAACCAAATTTTTTCATCTAGTGCCTGTATTTTACATTTCTGGCCCAGACGATCTGCGCTTTTTTGTATACTGGGGTGCTGAAGGCATCCAAGACAACCCAATTGTACCATATCTACTACGTGGGCGCCAAGTATTACATCTTTGCCTTGTATCTGACTTTGGTCATTGCTGTGAATATGTCGACGTGGATTGCCTATAAAGAGGGGCTGTTGATCAACAACGGAGAGCTGGTCGTTGCCGGCCGTAGGTGTGCACGAGCTTTAGGTCTGCGTTTACGAGCCTAATCTCTGTGGAATCGAAGGCGTATTCTTGGCAAAAATGCAGCCGTTTGTTGTTGGGATGATACGTTTTATCGCAGTGCTCGCCGGTCTAACGATAGCTTGCTATTGGCATTTATTGATTACTAACGTTTACCAATATTTCTTTGTCAAACCGCATGCCGGCGAAAGCCATCGAACACGCAACATGCGCCGCTATTTCTTTCTGGTGTTCGTTTTTCAAGTGAGTCTTTCAAGGTGGTAGCCACCCTTGGTCTAGTCGCTATCAGCTTGCTTCTTCTTGGCCTTGCCCATGTTTATGTTATTGCTGGTATTCCTGGGAATTCTCGATTGGGAGCCGATCACCTGGAGTCCGTATTTTCAACATACCAAAAAGTTTTTGCAGCCAGCGGGTTATCGACCCTGTGGGTAGCGCTACATTCCCTTGGAAATAGTCTAACGATTCTAATCGCGACCAAGGCTTTCCGGAACGAAGTCTTACGCACGTTACGGGCGCTGATAAAGGCAAGGACTTTTGATTGCTGGATTTTGGATTCAGAGTCAGTGGTAGGGGTAAAATCGGCGGTTTTCAGGAAGCCTCTTCTATGCTCGGTGCCGATTGCCTCGTCGTTAATTCGGCTACCGCACAACTTGTAGCAACAGCCCAGACGAGTTCTGCTCGACAAGGTATTCGATAAAGCTATTCAAAAAACTTACAAGGAGTGCTTTTTTTGAGTCATCGGCAACCTTAGAGCTAGCTCATTCGATGAAATTCGATTTAGACAAACCCGTTGCTTTTGCAGAATGGCTATCCCTGATTTTATAAAATTAAAATACTAGTGACCGTCCCTTACCATGAGTGCCTTTCAAGCCAAAAGACAGGCTTTTGGGTGCAGTTTTACAATTTTATAAAATCAGGGATAGCCATCCTGCAAAAAAGAACAACGGGGTTTTGTTCAGAATCGAATTCTCTATCGAATGAGCTAGGTCTCGTAAGGTTTTGCAGATGACTCAAAAAAAGCACTCCTTGTTAGATATCTTTATTCACAAGATCAAGGCAATAAAACAGGCGCAGCCCGCGAGCATGCCTAGCGAATATTGGATTTGGCGCTTTTAGCCGTGCTGACTATAGTTAAGATTATGTTTTATGTGCATCATCTCTTTACGAATGTCTACCAAGATCTTATACAGTCAGCAAAACCCGGCGGAAAGCCGAAGACGCACCAGATGCGCCGCTACATCGAAGTAGTGTTGTTTTTGCAGGTAAGGTACGTCAAATCGACATCCTTTTAGTCGATATCCAGATCGCCATATAATCAAGAAAGTGCGGTGTGTGCGCGAATTCAATAAACGTATATGAATTATACCAAAACAATGTTTAAAGGTTTTATGACTAATGGCGTTGCCCCTGAGCCTAAGCTGTAGTTTGCATCGCAACTTACCGACACGGCCGGCAGCCTCGCTCAACCGTTGGGCTTGACGCCTTATCCATGTTTGAAAATGTGAATGCACCAGCCTCGTCCAATCAATCCATGAAATAAATTGTTTCTGGAATAATTACAGCATTGTGCTTCTGGTTAAACAGTTCTTCAAGCTCAAGCAGAAGGCCTAACCTTCTACACTTTTGTTAGGCCTGGAAGGCTTCTTGCGATAAGACAAGCGCATCACCGAAAATCCTTGTGGTTGCGGCTGGGCGTCTATGCAGCACGTTTTATTGCTTGTTCTGTTGTGGTCCCTGTGGCCCCGCCAAATTGAAGGCAATCTACACGTCTGCAAGTGGTAGCTCTACCTTACCACCTGCGGCCAAAGGCACTGGCAAATACCAAGCCATTGTGGAGCTCTACCGAAAATGTTTAACCCATCACCGCAAGCGGAGACATTGATTGCCTGGCTTTATTTTATATTCTGGTGTTTTGGGTTTTTAACAGGTGGCGTGACCGTTTATTTATTGTTGACTCAAAAAGACTACGTTGACCAGCGGCTACAAGTGGGCGCAGTTCAACTTACTGGTTGGTTGTTAAATTTTAGGTCTTACATTCAATTGCCGCCCGTCAACACGGATCTAGCATGCTCGCATAGATTGACCGATCGTACCCAAGGTGCTGCGCAACAAACAGAATTTTGCACAGGTTTCCTCGCAGCTGACGGACACGGTCAACTTTTCATCCAACCCGCTAATATATGCGCCGACGATGATCGTCAGAATGAGATCGCTGTTTTTCGAATACAACCGATTTAGCTTCGATTTAGTGGCGGTAAGGTTTTTCCTGAAGTCCTGAGGAGTTATGGAATTTATCTGAAGCAATCTTGCTTGCCAATTGGGCAAAAAAGGCGCGGTGGTTGCCCACAGTGGGATTCAAACGCCTCATTCCATTCTACAAAGTTGGAACAGGCTTTTTTAAGATTCATTTTAGTTTTAAAGTTATAAGGCTTAGAAATTTTGGCCCCATACATTTTTGAGTCGATAGGAGCGCCGCGTTGTGTAGGGCCTTATTGCCGCTGATTCTGGGCGTGATTAGTGCGCTGAGATGCTGTGTGCCGTTTCGCGCGCAACGGCTGCCAAAGCTGGCCAAGGTCCAGCAGTCCACGGAGCCAAAATCTGAAGCCGACGTGCCTGCAATGTGTGCTCCCGTTCTAGAGTCAAAGAATATAGCCTTCTAGACCATCTACTTTTGCTTTGCCACCCAGTCGGTGTGCGCTTTCCTGTTCACCGGTGTGATGAAAGCAACAAAAACCACACAGCTTTATAAGATCTATGATACGGTGGCAAGGTATTATATCCTGGGGTTGTTCCTTATGGTGGTGGCGGCCGTAAATCTTGGATTCTGGTGGGATTATGCCGTAAATTCGGAGCTTGACGATCAAGAAGAGGTAACGCAACAGTTTGGATGGCAAACACCGTTTTCTAGATCTGCACTTATAACCCAAGCCTGTGCGGCATTGAAGAAATATTTATCATCCATATGGATTCGACGATGAAAACGATTCTTCAAGTTGTGGCGTTGCTGGCCGGCATCACAGTGATATCGTATGCGCAGCTTTTGGTCACCAACATCTATCAGTATTTCTATGTAAACACGAGCCCTACGGAGAGCAAGCGCACGCGTGCCATGCGTCGCTATATATGGATGGTGTTTGTGTTTCAGGTTTTGGTGTTTCGGGAAGTAGAATTACCGATTTTTTTATAGTCGCTGTCAGGTCTGTTTTTCCTGGTCCTGCCCATATTCTTCTTGCTACTCGTTCTATTGAAAATCATCGTGTGGGAGCCAGTGGTTCAGGGTAGGCTGATCCAAAATGTTTCATGACTTTCTTAGGTGTGAGCCTATGCACGTTATGGGTAACCCTGCATTCGATTGGCAACAGCTTGACGGTGCTATTGGCTACTCGGGTCTTTCGCAATGAGTTTTTACGAATGATGCGTCAATTTCTGAGGGTTCATTTTTTCACATTCAAACCAACCGTTCGTACTAGATAATTCTTGTCTTCTTGACAATAATATTTTATCTGCACCTGTGTTTCGCGAATATTTATCATTATTTTTCGGTTCACAGAAATCCAAGACTAAGCTTGCGCACCCAGCAGATGCATCGTTACTTTTGTCTGATCTTTGTTTTACAGGTGGGAGAAGCGCTCTAGATGGGTGTAGCCAGTTTAGTCACTGACGGCCACTTTCATCTTGGAGTTGCCGTTCGCTCTCACAGTGCTTGTATTTCTCGGTGCCTTAACCTGGGAGCCGATCGTTTGGGGTTAGCTTTGCTCGTGAGATATTCCAAAATTTAGTGGTCGGCCTATGCACGCTCTGGGTCAACTTCCACTCGCTTGGAAATAGCCTGATTATTTTATTGGCCACAAAAACTTATCGGAAGGAGATTTGGTATTGGATGCGAAAGGTATATTGGGTAGGGGATGGTCTTGATATTTAACAGGAATTCTCCTAGAAACTGAACCCATTCGTCCTCGCTATCCACTCGATCCACAGACCACCTATAGTCGTGATTGCCCCTAGTGTTCCTTTATCTTTCAGTTATACCCGTTGATTTTTTGATAAAAGGTTGCACCCGTGGCAAATGCGAACATCACGTATTATGCAAGTTTCGAAAATTCTAGGGAAAATCGAAAGAAGAAAATGCAAACTGAGCGGAAGCAAATAGACACTAAATTACCAAATTAGGTCACCTGGTTAAATTTTCCATTTTCTGTCTGGTGAAAATGAAAGGCTTCTTTACCCTTAGACATTTTTTCTGACACAAATTTAACTAAATAACGCTAGTTTAAACGCTTTTTAGAAACAAAAATCGTCCGGGGCCATAGAGGAAATGAGGGATTCCGAGCAGGAGGTCGATGAAAATCAATGCAAATTTCAAAAATATAGCCGAAGAAACTTTTAAAAATTGCATAGAAAACGGTATTTTGGCTATAACTCGAGAAGCGCGATAGCGATCGGGCTCTAACTTAGGGCTGTCGTTAGTTAGGGTCTGATGCAGCCCTGGTTTAATTTTCGGAGCGATCGTGTTGTAGGTGTGGCTGTGCGTGAGCTCTTGAGTGCTGGCTCACTCCAAGGGAATACCTTGCGAGAGAGTCGTTTGACATCTGAATTGATATGACGAAAGAAGGGAGAACAATAGTTTATTTACAATAACGGGCTAGCCTAAAATAACACAAGCAGAGAGACATGACGGGCGGAGTGGAAGAAGTGAAAAAAGACACCGCACAAAAAGGGGTTGTGCCGAGGGACGGGCAGGGCGCACACAGGGCGCGGTGGATAGGGGTGCGCCGTACTGGCATTGCGTAATTCAATCAAAGACTTTCTTTCTTGCTTCCGCAACAGATCGGATGTGGTACGGCAAAATGCCGGAGGGTGCTTTGTTTGGGACACCCTGTACAAAATATCGCACCCCGCAAAACATGCAGCAATAAACATCATCGCCCAATGGGCCACCTCTAACTAGCCGACAAAAATCCATGAGGTTGGGAACACAATAAAACCATACTCTTCGATATGCATTTTCTAAAAAGGCTTGCAAACGTTGTTCCATCTCGGGTTAGAATTTTTCTCATTGAAGATTTCGCCCTTTGGGACCCGTTATTTTGATAAATAAGAAAAGCCCTATTTTCATGGGAATCCCGGAACGAAGTATGTACTTATAAGTATCACGAGGTAATTTTGAGGCGCAGTTAAACTACGCTCTTCCTACGGCAGATAATTATATACTGCGGTCGGGTTTTTGGCCGCCAGACGGTTAACGAGAACGAAAAGTATGTCCGGGTTTTTGGTAGGTTCCTGTTTTGTAATCACCCAGGGAGTGCTGATTCGCGAATTAAGAATTTGAGAATACGCGCGAGAAAGGAGGTCAAGAGCTAAAAACGCCGACTTTTCAAAGGCTTTGGAATTTGCCGAAACTGGGATACTTTGGGCGGATTTCGGGCTTAAAAACATTCATTTTTTTGCATATGATAGCTTCGCAGGTTCTGAAAGTTGTTTCGGAATCAGCGCAAAATTTTGCATCAGAAGCTCGGTCCCGTCTAGAAATTCGATTGTCACTAAAAAAGATCAGGGTGTAAGAGCTGAAAATTGTGGAGCTGAAAGTAGGGCAACAACAGTTAATAATAAAAAAGGTTTCAAGTTTTTGGAACACTTCAGGTGCCGTTTTTCAGGCTAAATTATTATATTAACGAATTCAAATTCAATTTCAGAAATGACTGCGGCCGGCTAGATGGGGGTGATGTTTTGGCCACCCTGTAGTGTGGCGAAATAGAAACAACAACATAAACGGGCCAGGTGCCTTTGCGTATGCTTTTGTCCGTAATCATTGCTGTCCTTGTGCAAGTTTAATAATCTTATCGACCCCCGGATACACCTGCGCCCCGTGAAACCCGTCGACAGGCCTGTAGTTTCGTGACATCGATTTTCGAAAGGTCTCCGCGCTTACAATGTTTTTACCCTCGCCCGAGGGCGAGGCCTGGATAATCCGCTTCTACTACTTTTTTTGGTGTCTCGGTTTCGTGTCATTCAGTCTGGCTATATTTTTCGTTACGAATCGCAAGACGTCAGTCACACGTGGCTATAAAATTGCGCAATTAAACTTATTGGTATGCTGGCATTCATATCGTAACTGATTCACAGATCGCCGCCGAGTTGACAGATACCACGGTGTCATTTTCAAAACCTATAGTCTACGCGCCGTACCCAGCCATAAAGTTGGCGAGTATATTTCGAGTGGACTACATTCAATTTCACGTCATTTCGGTATCTTACCTTACCAGTAGTTCACCTTTATAGATTATCTATGGTATATTTATATTTCATACGATTTGCGCACTTCTTTACACCGGGCTGCTGAAAACGGAAAAGTCGAC